GGACTATGGGTATATATAAACCTATAGCATGTAGAGCACGTTCTATGCTACTTGTGAACCTTATTAAAATACGTATCAAACACTTTTCACCGATTGGGCTACACGTACATATCTTTACATATTCAAATTGTATTTTATAGGACACCTGTTCCTAGTTCGCATAATACGATACTGTATAATATTGCAGTAATTTGACACAATTTATTTGATTCTTCGCCATAGGACTTAAATTGAACTTTGCTGAATATGCTGCTATTCGTTATAGTCGATAAGTTGCTGCGATCGATGATTATAGTCCAGCGATTTTAGACCTGGGGCCATGCCCCCTCAAGGGGGCCACAGAGTAGTTGAAGGGAGCCAAAGTGATAGGCGCAAAACTGATTTTATTTTTCTCTCACAAGAAAACTCCCCATTCTTATCAGTTTCATTGCTTGATAAGGTTATTTCACAGAGTGTTTTCACTTTGTTGAGCATGAATTGTTTGGATAAAAAGGGATTTGAAATATACAAATCTAAATAGCACTATAGATACCACTGAGATGATAAACAGGAGGCCATGTGTGCTAGAAGTCTTTGAAAGGGGGCGACGTGCCACAAAAGGTTGCTTGATAAGGTTATTTCACAGGGTGTTTTCACTTTGTTGAGCATGAATTGTTTGAACACAATGGGATTTGGAATATACCAATCAAAATAGCACTATAAATACCACTAAAATAATAAACAACGGAGCCATGAGTGCTAAAAGCATACGGAAGAACGTCACGAGCCGTGAAAGATAGAGAACTACGGCTCCAGTCTATATTGGTAATTTTCGAATCCGCGAAACGCATCAGAGAATCAAAAATAATGTACCGGTACAGTCTTAACCGCGTATCCAGAGTCATGAAGTTAGTTTGCAGTAGGGATGTGTATATGGTCTCGAGCCGCATTTTCTGTGAGGCAAAGAGGTATATAATTGAATTTTATTTAATGTCTTGATTTATAGAAGTATAGTCATTCGTCCTAGAATAATTTTAAAATATTTTGTACAAAGCCAACGCTAAAAATTAGTGTCCGGTTAGGGTTAGAAATGCAGATTGCGCTGGAAATTCAATTTTCAAATAATTCCCTAATCCCAATAGAATAATTTTCAATTTATCACTCAAAAACGTGGCGGAGGTGTTTTTCTCAAATCTCACATACTTTTATTTGTTACGGGGGCATTGTACAAAATATTCCAATTTTACTCAGCAAATATACATAAAAGATGAATATTGAGCAATTTTTTTCTCATACAAAGCGAACAATTTTGATAAGAATTCGAGGTGCTTTTTAAAAGTTTTGTCGCTAAGCACAGAAACTTCCTATTCCACTCTCGGGAAAAAGGAAAAATAGATCTTTAGATATTTGTCTCGGTCAAATAAGGGCGATATGATATATGATCTGATATGTGCTCGATAGATTTCTTTTGTGCCAAGTACTTTTCGTACGACGGACAACAAAATGTGGATTCCATTTCTTGTGTAGCCTACAATTAAAGCAAATGTTTTGACATAAACAATGAACGACGGTAATATTATGATATCACAATTACCTAAATCATGGATTAAGACTTAAGTAATTTAATGCCCTCATGGGAACTGTGCTTTATTCAGACACAAAGGAGTTACTCTCGGTCATATCGGAATATATGCCGCAATATGATCATGTTCAAACATTTTCCGATCAGTTTGATTTGAACTTTCGATTCGAATGATCCCTAGAGCAGGGCTACTCAACTGGCGGACCGCGGTCTGAATCCGGACCTTCGGGTATTCGATTCGGACCGCGCCTAATTCTTAATTAGGATCAGTAGACCCACTTTTGAAGTTTCCTTCTATAAAATCACTTTATTATAGATTTAAATATATATGAAGAAAAGAACTATAACGCCATAATAAACAATCTTGAATAGTTCATAATCATTAGTCGGCCGAGGAAGTGCGTGTTTAAGGATGGCGAAATATAATTTCTGGAAAGACCGGACCCAAATATTTTTGAAGTTTTGTATGCGGATCTTCGGTAAAAATAGTTGAGTAGCCCTGATATGCTAGTTATGAGTAAGACATATGAAGTCAAGTATAGCCGGACTATATGCTAGCTAACTGCTCTTTTTCCTAGGTATAAATTTGATACGCTATCCCAGGAATGCCGATTAGACAGCTCAATCATTTGGCGAACCGCGACCTGCCGTCCGGTCCTTGTCGGGTTGGGATTATTTAGCAAGATGTTTGTTTCAGATGCATGGACTTGGCAGTGGAGGAAGCCGCATGAATCACCTCACGACGGCAAGGAGTCCATCAATCCTCTCGCACATAATTATCCTACACGGGATTGGAACCTGCGAACCCACGCAGATTAAATAGAGGTGCTGTTACGAGAGTATTCTCAACGCTTAGCACGATGCGCCACATGTTTTCAAACCGGGTTTCCGCGGCAACCCAGGGTTTCTTAAGTTTTCATTCAAGCCCGAGTAAATTGTTTAAATATATTTAAATACCTACTCGTTTTGCCACTATTATTGAAATTGCCACATTTTGTTTTACATATAATATATATATTTATGGTTTTCGCAATCAGACAGGAATAAACAATTAAACTATTGCACAGGAGTTCCTCGAGCCTCTGGAATGTTACATTGGGGTTTCACTTCAACAGCAAAAAGGTTAAAAACCACAGGTCGAGAGTTTCAAAATATTTTAAGTATAGCCTTGGTGTGGTCACCCATTTTGGAAAAATTGTTATTCAAAAGTTTCGACCAACTATCGACAAGCATCGACTTGAATACTTGCACGTAGGGGGTTTCATAATTGCAAATAATAGAAAAAAAGGGCGTTCCGGGAGTATTCGTACCATGATGACGCACAACCTGAACAACCCTAACCTGTCACATAATACTATCTTCAGGTTGTGCGCCATCTTGGTACAAATACTTCTGGAGCACCACAAAAATATGAGGAACCGAATGCGTTTCCCATAGGCTTGAAAATAAACTCAGAATGAATATTCTCTACCCGTAGAATGCGCGTGATGAATTTCTTTTTAGCCGTTTCCGGTAATACCCAAAACCTTTAAGTTAATTTTCATGACTCGGTGGCAATGAAACGCCTTGTTTCGTATCTGTCTACCCATCTGAAACGTTGACAAATCAAAAAATTTAAAAACAAAGGACGAATGTTTGAATTTCGAACGAGTTTTTATTAAAAAGTAGCAAATAAATATGTTCTTTTTCAAGCTAATATTTATTTGTAGTTTAAAGAAACTTTACCAAACTATTTCATAGGAAGTTACAGGAGTTCAAAAATAAAAAAAATAATTTTACTCATTCTCTCAGAACATCTTTTTGAAGTTTCCCTCGAAAACTTAGATCGTTTCTCTTTAACTATTGTGCTCGTTTAACTGGTAGAAACCATTTGTTCAGGAATTTCCAGACTACGCGACAGATATTGTGGTTAGAACTATTTATATATATCTGTGCTTTGGGTAATTTTATCGAAAGGTCGGATTAGTGACATATGCGGTCATAAGGTAATGCAGAAGTATTGTGAGGGTAACTGATAGTTCTGTGAAGCATCACGCGTCAGATTTACGCTATCACACGTAAAACAAGTTAGATTTAGCGAGTCCAAGACAAACAAACATATACGACTCGGGGGTTGAGGAGAACACGATCGTAGCAGTAGGTGAACTGACTTTCAAAAAAGCAGAAGTTTTTGATGAAATATTTTGACGAGAGAAACTAATTGAAAGTTGGGGCAAACCTCGTCTAGTTCGATATAAGACTCCTTTAGACAAAATCGTTCGTTCAGTTCGATATAAGACTCCTTTAGAAAAAATCGTTCGATATAACATTGCATTTCTGTACAGTATAACGGGTACTCCCGTAGTATGTGAACCAAGATGGCGGACACCGGAACGTAGTATTTGCACCAGGTTAGGGTTAGGCCATAATTTCAGGTACAAATACTACGGGAGTCACTTGGCTAGTTCCCGTTGTTGACTTCAAGCATTATTTTTTAAATCTTTTGTTTGGTAGATGGGAATATAGAAATCGCATTTACGCAAATAATAAATTACTGATTAATGTTGACGATCGGTCTTAGTCTTGATGCTCTTTGTCATAGGTTTAATATTTCCGTGTATGTTCCCTTTTCAGTTGCGCTTTCGTGATTGATTCTCACATATAAATATAATAGCTCAATTCATTGATGCACGATAACTGGTTCGATATTTCCACAGCCTCCTGAACAGTGGTGTGTCGAACTTTTCTGATGCCCGGAGCGAGTTTCTGATAATGCTGTCTTATATTTCAAAAATAATTTGGAGTATAAACAAATTATAGATGTAGTTAAACATGAGAATAAATGAATTAAAGGTCAAGTAAGAGTAAAATGTTTGTAATACTATTGTTTAAATCGTTAAACTAAGCGACAATCTCACCCCAATAACGTGCTACTCGAGGCGGCAGCCCACTTGATCCACCTCCAGACACGTCACTGCTCCCGGATCATTTGATCTTTTTCTTGTTTGTCGCAAAATCTAAGCAGAAGGAACCTTAGGTGGAGTTTATGGGTCGCCTCGCAACTTTTATTATAGAAAAAGGGCCGCTCCCGAAGTATGTGCACCAAGATGGCGCACAACCTGCAACCTAAACCCTAAGCTGGTACACATACTATGTTTAGGTTGTGCGCCATCATGGTGCACATACTTCGGGAGCTCCGAAAAAGGTTGGTGCCTCTATGGCGCGAAATCTTAGTGTTACTATCGGGATTGACTATCAAACATAAAATATCTCAATTCATTGGTGCATCATGTATATATAAACATGATTCCCGAATCATTAGATCTATTATGTGTTTCTTATCCAGTCCGAGCAGATGTAACTTTTAGGTGTCGTGATCGTAAATAATATTCAAACTTAGATTATAAAAAAAGTTGGTGCTGCAACTTTTTTTCACTTACAATTAATGTTTTTCAGATTTAAGTTTGTAACATGAGATTTGAAACAAAAGATAAAAGAAGAAGAGGTAAACCCTCGTTGCGGTGAATCGAGTTCCATGATGTAAAACGCGAAATGATTCTCTGTAAAAGTCCACTTCTATTGGCATGCTTGTGCATGGTCTGTGAGGTAAGATATTTTGACTTTCTTTTTGAAGAGATTAACATAACAAGATGACAATTTTTAGATACATAAGGACTCGAAGTCGTAATAAATTTTCCCCGTAGTCTTTCTTACCAAAGTTAACAACTTCGACTACCATATTGCTAAAATGCGATTTTTAATTCTGATGACACAAAACTAAAAAGTTGAAAACGAATCGTATAAAATTATCATTAATTTTTGAAATAGGTAAAAGTAATAGTCTTCTGGTGACAACAGCATTCTTTATCTCTTGAGAATTTCAAAGGTATCGTTCCGGTAGTTTAAAAGAAAGCGATGTTTTCACAATAACAACAACAGCAAGATTACAAAAACAATTTACTTTCAATCAATGCTGTAGAGTCGGAATTATTTCTTACTTTCAATAGTGATATTGGAATCAAAATTTTCTTCGGCACCTAAAAGTCATCGAGTTGACTAAATGTATTTATCTATGTATTAATAAAGGTTTGCATAAGTCATAGGCCAAAACAAAAAATTAGGAGCTCGGGTCGGAGTCTAATTTTTTACGATCCGGAGTCAAAATTAAAAATAATCTTAACGCGGAGTCGGAGAAAAATAATCCGGAATCGGAAACGATTGTATATTTTACTTGACTCTACATTCCTGTTTTCAATAACGTTATTCCTAGTGAATTCTCGTTGTTGCCTACCAAACATTTGTGATATCAGCGCGTAGCTGAGTCTACATTCGCATTGATTTATTACTAATTGCAATCCTAAATTTATTGCGAGATTTTTTTGTTTCAAAATCACATGAAACGCCTGTTTTGTTTCACGATTCAGCTTTGAAGTACGAGCGTGTCTAATCTGTTTATGAAATTCCCTTCTGCGGTTTCCTCACTCCGCACGCGAGGTGCATGGGTACACATTAGAAAGACCATCCATGCGTTTACGGCATTCAGGTTATGAAGGATACTCAAGTTGTTTGTCACAAACAGCAAGCGTGAGAACATTACATGAAAATGTTGCAACATCATTACAATGTCGCAGGGAAGTTGAAATTAACATCGTTCTCACACTCGTTTTCAGACAGTATAAATTGTTTCGAAATCGCGTATTTTTGTGTTCGGTTTGATTATTGACTCACATGTCTCTGTATTAATTGTTAGAGATAATAAACGATGAAAATTGAGCGATGACCCGGCCCAATTTTTCTAGCCTAACATAAACAAAATGGAAAAGATAGATCAAAAAATGAGTGGTAGGGCGAAAACAAGATAGTACCCTAACTTGCACAACAAGTAATATTGGTGGTGCAATTTTGGTAAATATTTTCGTTTTTTTTGTGCAATAAGTCTTGCCAGCACAAAAATATATTTTTCTGATTGCTCTTTTTTTCTCTGATGACTAGGTAAATGTTCTGTTATTACAGATCGCCACTTGTTGCTATTCAACATGCTGTTGCAAAAGTTTGGATATGATCGACTGCTCCAAAAGTTCGGTTATTTCCCCTCCTAAACCGAAAACGGACGCCAAAGGTTGGTGTGGCAATCTACTGTGGGATAACAATGGTTCTTCGATAATAACCATCTTGCTGAGTAAAGATACCGCAAAAGTCGATAAAGGTAAAATTGAATTAAAAGAAAATCGAATAGAGCAGTATAGTGTATGTATAGTCTTACTGCTGGGTCTTCTTCGATTTCCCTTCTCTCGTTTCGTTTTTATTTTTCTCTCTCGTTTTTCGTTCTCTCGTTTTACCCTCTTTCTCTTCTCTCTCGCTTAAAGACGACAACCAGAATATTTGATTTTCTCTCTTATTTTGTTTCACTTTTGTCTCTCTTTTTTAGTTTTCTCTTTCTCTCGTTTTCTCCCTTCCTTTCTCTTCTCTCTCACTTAAAGATATTTGATTTTCAAGATATTCTTTATATTGCATTTTCACTATTTGTATTTCATCCTCTATAGTTTAATACCAATAAACACTACGCCGGAACGTAGTATGTGTGCCAGGTTAGGATTAGGCCATATTTTTATTCTAATTTTCCTGATTTTAGTTCTATTACGAGTTCGGGGACTAGCCAAGTGACTCTCGTAGTATTTGTACGTTCCCGTGTCCGCCATCTTGGCTCACATTCTTCGGGAGTACCCAATAAACATCTATAACCATCAAATGTACCGTATTTCATGGACCATAGGACCGTATTATAAGGCACACACATTCAATAAAGTGCTTAGATTGGGTTTTAATTCATAATCAGACCCAACGGGTTTTAAAACAATAACTATGCTGATTCTGAGTGTAGACAATGCAGCTTAGTTTACTATCTGATTCAAACATTAGCCGCACTGGCTCATAAAGCCCATGGTCAATTTTTTAGAAAAGAGAATGTAAAGTTCGCCTTATGGTCCGTAAAATGAGGTATGTTGAAATAGCCATCATAAGAAGCAAAAAGTCTTTTTTATCTTAGCGATTATCTCGGTTCGGAGAAACTACCTTGCAATAACCTTAGTAGGCTCCAAGATATGGTCATCGCTTTACCCTTGTCATTGCATTAGATTTATAAAAACTTAATATTAACGGCCTTTCCTTGGTTTATTTAGGTATGTTTCGACACTATCCTAACATCCTCAACATATCGTTAAATGGTTGCAAGCTGACGTCATTGGGAGAAGACGAGTTCCACCTTCCTGAATACGGGGAGAGCAAATTGGAGGTTCTTAAACTCAGAAATAATAATATCAAAAAAGTTGACATCAACGCTTTCAGAGGTGAGTAATCCATGTAGAGATGGGCATTTTTGAATACCTGATGATTTTAGAATCAAATCGAAATTTTTTTTCGAATCGGGTCTCGAATATTTGGAAGGCATGTAATTGTCTGTGACTTTTGTAATGTGATGAATTGACATCAATGCTTTCAGAGCTGGGTTGGCTACTTTTATAGGCCAATACAAAGATTTCGGAACTGGAGTTGGAGTCTAATTTTTTACGATCCGGAGTTGGCTACTTCCATGCAGGGCTGCAACCAGGATTTTTAAAAACAGGCGTGGGGGTCAAAATCAAAGTTGGAAACGGATTCTAAAACAATCTCCGCAATTAAGCCGACTTTTCCAGAAGATAATGACTTTTTTGTTGCCTGAAATATTTAATCCATGTCGATATGACTATACACTACTTCCGTGATAAGATAAAATTTGACATATTCATCTAGATGGAGAGGAAAGCGTTAACGTTAACGTTTTTTATCATTAGATATTTTGTAACTATGTTGATATGAAACCAAAAAACGGAAAAAAAATACTGAATGCACCATAGTTAAAAAACTGTAAAACTAACTGTCAATGCCCTTTAAAATAATGTGTTTTTTCGCGAATACTACCCTTGCTCGCTGGTCCTCTAAGAGAACCGCTGTATGTCCCCCGAGATCCCAGTTTTAGACACACTGACATAATCTTATATTTGACCCTAATTTTGGCCCTAATTCATCTCCATATTTGTTTTAGGTTTGACGAATCTCGTTAAACTAGATCTCAGTTGGAACGAAAATATTGACTTGCAACCTGGCGTATTTAACGGGTTGACAAAACTCACAGAGCTAAAACTGGACGGGAATTCGATTTCATCTTTGGATATGAAATTGTTTGAGGGTTTAATATCACTCAAATATCTGACCATCAATTCAAACCAACTCAAGGTGCGTATACAGAATCAATTATTATATTTAGTCTTACACAATCTTCAAGAACTACTACTAGAGTTTTGAGCTCACGACTGAGATGACACTTTTAAATTATCCAGATTAGCACAAATAAGAATGATTTGTATATTAAATAATATGTTCATTGTTCACTGATTTCACAAAACCGGTGCAGATACTTGGCTTGTGTTTTATTTTGTTATTATTTTTTTATTCCCAGGCTTCAGCCGAAAATCTATTGCGATTCTAAAACTATGTCCGCTTAAATTTGTATTTTCCATTTAGTTGTTCAATCCAATTGTGCGCTGCCAAACCTCTCGCAATAAATCTTTGTTTGAAATTTTGCCTATTGTCTGAAAATTTATATTTTTTCTTCAAAATTATCCGCGTTCAGAAATTATTTTTTTTAAAAAGCGCGCTAGTTGCAAAAAATTTTCATAACTTTCTCCAAGGGCAGAGAAGCCGTACAAAATGCTTTTGTGGGCCGTATGTGGCTGTAGTTTTCCCGTGCCCGTGATACATGGACTTGGTGTTATAAATCCATGTCAGTCATGAATTAAACCAAAATGAATACTAATTGTTACCCATTATTTTCCAAGGTTCTTCTCCCATTTCCGTCAGACATTATGGATCTCAACAATCTTGAGTTGCGAAATAGTTCAATTTCGGAATTGAGTGAAAATACATTTGCCAATTTACATAATATCATGTAAGTTCGCTATTGGAATTCGAAACTCCTGTAAAATATTAATTTTAGAGAGAACTATATATTATAGAAATCTAGCTCAACAGACGAATACCTCAACTTTGCGAGTGATACAGGAAATTGTCTAGACTCTAGACTTTTTTAATTCTTCTTCTCGTGGATTCCCTATTTTATTAAACGCTGGGATACCACATGGATTTGCAGGGTTTACGGGCTGGACTCGCCACCTGTTACGGTCTAACTTGGCAATTAGAAATTTCAGTCAAAATACATTTGACAATTTACATAATATCATGCAAGTTCGCTATTCAAATTTGAAATTGCAATAAAATATTAACTCTAGTTCAATAGACGAATACTTAAACTTTGCGAGTCATAAAGACATTCTTCTCGTGAATTCCCTATTTTATTTAACTCTAGGCTGGGGAAGTCGGTGTCAATTCACAACCGACTTCGGAAATTTTTGTTCCCACTCCGACTCCTTGTTAAGCATTGTATTTGATGTGGTATTACTAATATTCTCCAGTTCTTTATTATTACTATAATGCCTATTTTATTCATATATCATAAACTACTCAAACATAAAGCGGGAGTGAATAAAGTGTTTACTAGTGTTTATGCATAGTGAGGGAGGGATAAACAGTTTCAAAATAGGAAAATAGACGAAAGAAGGAATTTAACGAAAGAGTTGAGAACAACTGCTCCATTGACTAGGACAGCGATTCTCAACTTTTTAAGACGCGACCCTTTTTAGAATTTGTCAAGTCTCGCGCCCCACTCCAAGAATAATTAGCTAACAATAAGCTACAACTATCAGACAGGATGTCACAAGTATGTTTCATTCACAAAGCACGTTTAAATATGTGAAATGAACGTAAATATCCAAAATAAGACGGGCAAGATCAAATCTAAGGACTAGGACTGGGCAATCATGCCAATGACTGCCAAATCTCATTTTGCCATTATCTCCTCATTTTTAGTACGCTCGATCTCAGCTACAATCACTTGACTGAATTAAATGAAAATATTTTCGAGAACAACCGAGAACTGGTCAGGGTTCATCTTAACAACAACAGATTGAAGACGATTCCAGAAAACACTTTTTCCAATTTATGGTAAGTGTTTTATCAAAAAATTCAAATTTTGAATTATCGTGGAAGCTAATATTTTAGAATTCATATAATAATTCGATTTGTCTTGCTGCACACCAACACAAATGTATTTCTGTAACGTTTCATCTGACCGAGGACTATAGTTTCAAAATGCTTGTCTGAAGATGTCTGACCTCGGTTAGACGAAACGTTACAAAAATATATTTGTGTTGGTGTGTAGCAAGACTCTTAAATAGGATAGTCATCTTTGTTTTTGCTACAGTATCCTTGCGTTATACACATACAGACCACTAGCGCAAAGGCGTTGGGGGAAGGATTGGGAATTAAGTATTCTGCGTAACCTCTGCAGATAGTCATAATAATGTTTGCTCATTGGACACAAGCAAACTGGGCGAACCCCCTGAGTTTCCCCACTGCGTATCGTGATGTTGTGGCAACACGATTTTAATGTACTTCATACGTCATTACTTTATATATTCCTGTCAATAAATAATCCATCTCCAACAAAAAGCAAACACGAAACAAGTTTTGAACGTTAAATTGAGGAACATGTTCCCGAAATTTTCCCGCCAGAAAAGTTCATTTACCCTGATTTGAGAATGGACCGTATATGTATATTGTATATATGAGGTGTGTTCTTTTGGCGCTCCAGAAGTGTTTGTAGCAATATGGAGGTAACTGATTTTGTTTGCCTACATTACATCAAGTTGTGTAAAGGGACTGAAGCTTCACTTCACTTGGCTAACACAGGCAGTCTCGAACTCGTAATATAACTAAAATAGAGAAAATTGTAATAACATTATGGCTTAACCCTAACCTGGTACACATACTACGGGAGTATCGTTCTTTGTATGTCTAATTTGTTGAACTAGTATGTTGTGCAAATTTACAAAATTACCCAATAATATTAAACCATATTGAGATGTGATAAAGTTTTATAGGAATTATATTAACATTGTGTGGATTTCCATGACTTCCACCAGAATAACTCGCAACTCGAAGTTTGTTTAACTTGTTCAACCAATAAAATATTGACGATTGTATTTCTTTGTCTCTGTCGACCTTCAACCTAAATGCTCTTCTCCTTCACGAAAGTGATAACTATTATATCACACGAAGCGGCCATGTGGGTCGTTTGAAATCGTTGTTGTTGTCAGGGCGACTTTTGATGCTGAAAAACGCTTCTCTCCGTAAGTAATGCACCGATCGAATTCAAAATTTTACTATTTTAGGATTTAAGAATTGGTCGCCAGAATGCTATGATTACTTTTATGGGTTTTTAATTCCCATAAGTCCGATATTCCATTTTTGCTGTTTTATTTTTATTTCGCCACACGTTACGTCTACGATGTCTTCCGCTTTGATTTTGCAAATATTCCGAATGAATCGCGCATTTAGTCTAACAATACTGCGATTATGGGTTTTCGTGTCCATATATTTTATCTTCGCTTTCCTTTTATATATTGTTTTCCAGCTGGCTTTCACAAACCGTATAAGCACACCTAAACTATTATATACTTCAAATTAAACTATTTAAGAAGTCTACATTCTAAATTCAGCCTGGTATATCCGAGTTATTGTGGCGCTGTTGTTATGTTTTTTATCCGAACTAAACTGTTCCGGGGATGAAATGTCAGCAAAGGTAGATCATTCGAAATTTGGATTGTTAGGTCATGAGCTTATGTCTGATTAACAACAAATACGGAAATAAAGAGTCTACGGAAAATAATCATTCTATCGAGTAATCTATCGTGAAATTCTCCACCGCTTCGTGCGTCAAACATTTTCAATAAAAACGAACAGAAAATAATATCTCACTTTTTGTTTGTTTTCACAACATCTTGTTACAATCCGTCTCTTTTGTCGAACTTCCGCATTACGTCGTCTGATGTCAACGATATGTCGGGTTACACAGTCACTCACATAATAAAATCTGTAAATCTTTTATTGAACATTTATAAGTTTCTATGGCCTTATTATGAGTAAAACGAGGACCCAATGCGTTAATTACGAAAGATAACCATAAAGAAACCTCAAAAACTTCAGTATCACGAATACAAGGATTTACATAATAAATTGGCTAACTGCGCAAAATTTCATCTCCAATTTAAACTGTTTGATATAACGTTTTAAGGAAATATGTCCCAGGTGGGAATTTCAGATGCGTTGCTTAAAAACTCTTGCGCATTCTAACGTCCAAATAATTCTGTATGTATTTAATTATTAGTTCTTGGCATATCAGACTTGTTGAGTGAAACCTTACATGAAGCAAATTTGCATAAAATACCGCGTTTTAATAAGCGCCTCATATGTACTACTGGAAAGAAGGCTCCAAACTGGTACTCTGGTAGATGGCCTAGTACTTACCGCTCGTACAATAATAACAACACGGGCAAGAGTAGACTGAAGATTTCATTTGCACTTACGTATATAGATGACCCACGAGCCGCATGCGACTCCCATAGGATATTGTGCGGCCCCCAACTCTTCGCAAAAGTTGTGAAAACTTACAAAATTTTGATTTATTTTTAAACTTTACACAAAAGGTACAAATTATTAAAATAATATTTATTGCCATTTCCGCTTTAAAAGTTTCAACGTTAAATTTAGATGTGATCTAATATAAATAAGTACATTTTTCGGCGCTCCGGAAGTATTCGTACCAAGATGACGCACAACCTGAACAACTCTAATCTGGTACACATAGGTACGAATACTTCGGGAGCACCCTTTTTTCAATGCAGTCATTTGCAAAAAAGATATTCTGAATGCGGCTTTTACAAAATAAAACCTTGCAAAATAAAGCCTTTACAAAATAAAACCTCGCGTATAGACTTTATTGGATGCTCCCGAAGTATGCGAACCAAGATGGCGGACATCGGAACGTAACATGGGTAACAGGTTAGGGTTAGGCGATAATTTTTTTCCAATTCCCTTATTTTAGTCCTATTATCAGTTCGAAGACTAGCCAAGAGCCTCCCGTAGTATTTATACCTAAAATTATGGCCTAACCCTAACCTAGTACACATGTTACATTCCGATGTCCGCCATCTTGGTTCGCATACTTCGGGAGCCCCCTTCATTGTCTTGAATTACAACTTAACATTACAAATATTTTAACAGCGATTTATCTTTCCTGGACATCAGTTCCAATCGACTCTCAACACCTCATTATCAATGGTTTGCCAATATGGTTTTTTGGTTGACCAGGAATGACCAAGAACTCGAAAAATATCACGGTAGACCGGTAACCGTTGACAATGACTGGAAATGTGATGAAGACTCAATCAAATATCAGGTAACTGTAATATGTTCATGCATCTGAAGAATATAAGAAACCCACTAATCACATATCCGGAATCGGACTGAAGGCTGAGGTTCTCCATATATGTAAGCCGTCTAATTTACTTTCCTCTCCCCCGGGATAAATATGCCAAGTTAAAATTTATGAATATTCACATATGGTCCCGACTTTATGATGGGAAATTCCAGTTACAGTCTGACTGTCTTTTAATAAATATTTCATCTTATGGCGGGGATACCACAACTTTCAGATTAGGATCGGATTGAACTAAATCTCTCAATTTAGGTTTTATTTTTTGATGAGATGTCAGTGTAGAATGAATAAATGAATAAGTATAAAAACTCTTAAAAGTTACACAGATCGGGTGGACGTTACTAGAATGAATATAGAAGTTCATAAAATATCTCCGTAAATACGTATTATAATAATACTAAATAACTGGACAATATTTGTGAGATTACGCCTAACCTAATTAATACAAGGTGATATTTCTTACCCAAGAACATCAGAGAGGGATTATTTACTCGTTCGGAAAACATTGGTTCAAAATTAAACAATATTTTCTCAATTCAGGTGATGCTGGGCCAGCTATGCACTGTGAGAAATATGGTTTCTTCAAACTGGTTCGACGCTTTGAATATAATTTGCATATCAGGTACCGTGTTGAATATTTTCACTCAAAATACCGTATTGAAAGGGTTCGCAATAAGCAGTGGTTTTGGAAAACTGGGGCGCGCCCCACACGGAGGACGTAGATAATTTTTCGAGGGGACGTGAATTTAATTAACCATAAAAATATCTGTTAGATTTGATCTTGCCCGCTTTATTTTAAATATTTACATTTATTTAATTTTGGATGTTTACGTTCCATTCACATATTTTCAACGTGTTTTTGAATAAAACATACCTTTGCCTTACTATCTGTTCTTTGTAGCTTATTGTTACCTAGTTATTTTTAAGTGGGGCACGAGACCTAGAAAATTCTGAAAAGTGGGCGCGGCCTAAAAAGTTTGAGAACCACTGCGCTAACGTGTTCATGGGCTGTAATAATGATACTCTATCACGTCCTTGTTTTAGACGTGAGACGACCGAGGCAAATGGGTAACTTGCATCGCAGCTGACTAGCTTTATATTTGGCGTTTCGGAAGTTATATATATATATATTAGATTTAAGTGAAGCGTTCTCTTAAATGAGGGTAGTAGGGAACCCGTTGTTAGCGAGTTTTATACAAAAGAGGGCGCTCCAGACGTATGTGTACCAATATATAGGTAACTAATTTTGTTCGCCTACTTTACATCATGTTATATAAAGGGACGGAAGCCTATGAGCAGGGGGTATAATCACTTGGCTAACACAGACAGTCCCCGAACTCGTAATAGAACTAAATTAAGGTAAATCGGAATTACAATTATGCCCTAATCCTAACCTGGTACACATACTAAGGGACTTAAAGGGAGTACCAAAAAGAGAACCCTAAAATTTGAATCTCAATACTGATTGTAACCATTAGCAACTAATTACGATTTCAACATTTTTAATCAACAATCAGAAAAGCTTACACTTTACACGATTTTTATATTTTCAGATGGCAAGAAACAATATCTATCATCGCCGACTTGTGAAACTTCGCCTACAATTAACATGGGTATGATTCCTTCTCTACACCCAAACAGCACTTGCCCCAGGGAGGACCCCTTTTGCCGATTTCTCTCCCCAGTTTGCGCGAATGTGCCGAACATTACATCACCTCGTCCAGAGCCCAACGTAGCACCAGAAAACATTGGAATAAAAAAAATATTTTTTTTTGTCGCATTTGGGCTCATCTTAGTTATTGTATTCCTGTTAATCATTGTTAACCGAGCAAGGGAAGCAAAGAAAAGACAATATTCTTACAGCTCGGATGAACCAAGCATATACGAACCAGATGCTCAACCGTCGTTATCTTATCGTTCAAGCTCAGAGTCAGGATCAGAACGTCCGACCCTATCTTCATATTCGGAGTCTAATTACGGAGAGTCGGAAAATATAGGACCCATTCCGAACGGCCCCCAACCCATGTCTCCAGAACCGGGCGATTTTGTGTTTTCACAACCTAGCGTCAATTTCTTTCAACCAGGTATCGGTTCTGGATGTGGATGCCCGGATTTTACAAATACTCGCAATGATAATAAAAGTTGGAGTACAGGACCTACGTCATCACTTATTGCTCAACCCCCATCCCTACGTCACCAGTCTTCATTATCAACACGTCATTCGGTATTAGCACCTCTGAATTCGGAACCGGCACCGTCCATGAAATCAGAAATTTCCTCACTACCGCCACATTTCATGTCACACATATGGCAAAAGCCATATACGCCAGAACTTTTTTCCACTTCGTCTGACTTTGGTTATCCGTCTGATACTGGCTCGACTGGGTATTTATTTCCAAAGTATGAAAATCATCCATTTGAATCAAATCCAGAACAAGACTCCTTGGCCGCACTACGCCCTCAAGTGGAAACCATCCCAAAGGTGATATCCGAAGAATTTTCACCAAGCGTTCAATCAACAGGATGTCACGAAAATCAAATTCAAAACGATTTGATTGACCTTCAAAGTATCTCAAGTGACCTTGAAACAACAGCAGACATAGCTGAAACTCAAACGAAATCACTTTGTCAATCAGAAACGGTTCCTAAAGTCATATCTCAGGAAAACATATCGCAACAGCCTAACTTAGGCCCAACCCATTCAGAGCAAGAAACTCAACTCAAAACCATCTTCACCTGTCGGAATAAACCCAGAGCTACGAATTTATATGAACCATGGAGGCAGATTCCCAAATCATCACAAAGAGTACAGAGTGGACTTGAACCACAGAACGTAACCCCTAATGGCCAGGAAGATAGCTCCAATATGGTAAGTCCCGATCTAGATCCGATATATACTCCAATGCGGCCCCAAGATCCTGCTACAATTCCACCCGCTCCGAACAGACTCGATATGCCATGGATACGTACACATCCACGTTGGTGCTTGCTCCACACTGCACCATCAATACACCCGGTAACGCATTTCCCATCTCATATCCATTGCACTCCATCCTACCACATGTATTCCGAAATATTCCCACCGAATTCCGCCAATTTATATCTCCCTGTCAATTCGATTCCATTCGTGAACCCGGAACCTGAATTTGCGCGCATTTGGAGCCCACCTTTACCGGTACCGTTTTCTTTGAACCAATATAGACGGTTAAACGAATACGCTGATGAAATACCCCATGGACTCCCACAACCGGACCCGAATGGCCCTGGACGACTTCAAGCCCCCGAAAAGGCTGTATTAATACCCAGCGTGGTTTATCGCGATGTTACAACTTCAGAAACCCAGGATGACCAAAGAAAAGATAAAGCGATGGAAAAGATCAAACCAAAGGCTCAAAAACGAGCAAAGGTAAAGAAAGCTGACAAAAAAGCAATAAAAAAGAAGCGGAAGGCCAAATAAAAACAATTTACTTATATAAAAACGCTTCAGTCCATAAAAGTTCAACATTTTGCAAGAGAAGAAGGTGTTAGCATCGTTTTATTTGTTATTTTTCAACGCCACCAAAAAGTTGGAAACGACTGGTCTACACTCAGGGATATTCCAACACTCCCCTACTAAGCTCCGGCGTAGTATATAGACTTGGCATGGGCAAACTACGATCCGCGGGCCAAATCCGGCCCTTCGGGTAATTGAATCTGGCCCGCCTGATTTGTTGAGATTGCGATTAAATTTGGTTTTGGCGCGAGGCTCATTGTTTTCCACTTTTGCCAATACAAATAGGCTATGTATATTATCAAATTCCACACTGAACTTATTTCTTACGTGTTTTTCCACCTAAAGTGAAATGTGTTGTAATATATAAATCATATATTCCGTAAAAGTTTTTTTTTCTTTTTCTAGTAAGTTCAACAATCCTTTAAAGTTAGCTAACCAACTCAATTATTTTGCTTGTTTTGTATGTAATGCAGAATCATCTGAGCTTTTTGCAGCATATTTATGCCTTTGATCTAAGTCAGGGGTCGGCAACCTACGGCCCGCGGGCCGGATCCGGCCCGCTGAGTAATATAATCCGGCCCGCGACGCTTCACTGAATTATAGTAACAACACAGCTGCTCTGACGATTATATCCTTTACGTATCAGAATTTATTGTGAGACACGTGTAGACTAAATTATATTATAATCCAACAAGTATAAAATTCACAATTACTCGCTTAATGAGAATATAATTTAATTATAATTTGACGAATTGCAACAAAATGCAGAAAAGTTGATGCTAAGTGCAAAGGGTTCAATGGCGCCGAATATTAAAATGGAATTTTTTGAGATTCAATGCAATTAGGAAATAAATCAATATTCTATTCGAAAGATGTGTCACTGCTTGATTTTTATTATAAAACGTATCATCCGTTCGATTTTTAACTTTCTAAAAATATGTGAGGCCCGCCAATGACTTGTAACCCCCTAATTTTGGCCCGCGAGCGACAAAAGGTTGCCGACCCCTACTCTAAGTATTGGAACATCGTCTAATCGCCAGATAACTGGCTAAATTTCATCACTGATGCGATGTTTAGGATTTTGTAAGATGAAATATCTAAATTATATATATTATTTCATTTGGTCTAATTTAACTGTGAATCCTATAATATAAATATATCCCGCAGAAAAAGTTTCAATGAGTTGTCATATTCAAATCAAATATTCTAGTAGGAGTTACTTTTTTAAGTAAGTTCAACAATCCTTTAAAATTTGTTTCCAAATTTTGGTTATTTTGCAAGTAATGCAGCGCCATTTGTCCATCTGAGCTTTTTGAAGCATATTTGCTGCAGCCAGCAGATGACTGGCTAAAAGTCACGCGGAAATTAATTCTTGTTTGTCAACGTAAATTCTTTATTTGACTTTAGAAAGTTCATTTTCACTGTTTTCGTGACTTCATTTTTTTATGTTTTGTTCCGTTTGATATGTATTGGATCTTTTTGTCCCAATACTAAATTTGTATGTTTGACAGTATTGCTCAGTACCGTCGCTGATATTTATTTGGCAAAATAATGCGATTTTGGGGGTTAAATACACCCATTTGAAAGCTTAAAGCTGCGAAAGCTTTTATATGCTAACATCGGGTGCGCTCATGGAACTCCATATGCAACTTTGTTCTTTCATTTTAATTCATGGGAACACTTTTTTAAATAAAATATGGGAACACTTCATGAACACGCTTTATTCCGTCACACTTATCCGCCGATATTCTCAACAAACTTGATGTTCTCAGGCCGTACTAGTATCTTTACGCGTCCATGCACTTGGGCATTGCTCTCTCGAGATACAGTAATCACATAGAAAGATTTGATACACGACATATTTTATTATGAAATGAAACTTTTCACTTTTGCCTAATTGACTTGTAATTAAAAGGTGTTTTTATTGCGGTTTCGCTGTACATCAGAAGCATTTTTTGAGTTGTTGTGTTTGTGCTAGCTTGCTTATGGAAATAAATTGAAAATATGATTCCAATCTCACCCGTGATTATATTGCCATATCGTCGTATATGCTAAATATTTTTGGATAGAAACAGTAATGTTCCTGAGTTGCATATATATGAAATATTGCAATATCTAATCAGATTTATTTTCTATGTTCTACCGTGTTTCCCCGAAAATAAGACTGGGTCTTATTTCAATTTTCTTTCGAAAGATAACACTAGGGCTTATTTTCAGAGGATGTCTCTTATTTTAATTTATCAAAATCAATATTACAAAGTAGAGAAATACGAAATTTCCAATTATACAAAATATGAAAACCGATATCCATTTACTTAAATAACACGTTTTCCTCTCGCACAAGTTTTAGATTAATCATTTATAACGTGTAGAAGAGATTTCTTGCTATCGACTAGGTCAAAAAAATCGCGCTATTGACTAGGTCTTATTTTCGGGGAAACACGGTATGTGTGGTTCGTGGTATCTGTATTCGAAAAATATTAGGTTTTGGTAAGTAAGTAACCAATCTGAAAACGATGCCGAAAAAAAGTTATCAGAAGTTTGCAGAAGGGGGGGGGGGGGGGGGGGGGGGTACTGGAATTTCTAATTGCCGTTAGACCCGCTAGGACCCGCTGTTAGTTACTAACACCTAACGGGTTACGTGGGTTTGATAGCGTCCCAAGCTACAAAAATTTGCTATGCACGAAATGAAATTTTTTTTTTTTTTACATTTCAAAAGAGGGGGGGGGGGGGGTTCAAAAACAACACCCTTCCCCTGGAAGTAAGAGTCGGTGATTCTCAAATATATGTTTTAATATTCGTCCGCTGTACCCTTGCGCAATCGTCAACTCAATATCCATATATGTAGTCACTACCGAGCTGAGTCAAGACGGTAGGTCATTTTTTTTTAATATATATTTTTAAAATTCCTAATAGAAACCTTGTTGCACGCGTGATTTCTACTAGCCTCCAATTTTCATATTCAAATTCAATTTCGAAAAAAATCCACGCTTGCGACATTCTACTTGTGCGTGAAAGTGTGTTTCCAAATAAAAATGCAAAGTCCAAAAGGTGAAAATTCTATTTTGCGTCGTTTCGTAATCTAACAAAATGAAGCGATCCTATTTCCAATCATTGTAGAATTTGCACATTGCGAACTATTTCCTACAGTATTTCTTTAAAAATATTGATTGAAAGCATGAATCAAATTACCTTCATTTCGCAATATTGGAGATACGTAATTACATGAAACAACCAGTGAAAATTTCAAAGCAATTTGTCCGGTATAAAAAATTTTTCATAACGATAGAATTCTATAATAAGAACAACATAATAACAAGACGATCCGTGTCCAACAAGGTAGACAAATATATCAGCTTGTCAATACCCATCAATGCAAGGGAAAACGCTATTGAGCCCCATATTAGTCGAGTAATCGGACAGGAACGAATAAGTACACCATAGTGAAGTAAGAGCGTATAGCCAGCTCAAATTTTCTCTTTATTTGGAGGGGGCAATTTTTTTTTTGTATAATGACGTAATACGACGCTTACTCGTGCCTTTTGCTCCAAACAAGGCTAGATAAAAACAGCAACTGATTTCTAATAATATCTTAAGGATCTTTCTGCAGACTTACTTTGCTGTCGAAGTTATCCAAGGTATACAAGCTCGCATTGTCATCCATCTCGATTTGTTAATTTGGTGAAAGGATTATTGATAGCAAGTCAGGAAAAGTCAGTTTTCAGTAAATCGTTCAAAAATGGTAAATGGGAAAAGCGTAAGAATTTATGTCTCACTGCAAATATCGCAAAATTGCTTTAAATACATGTTAAATATTGGGGGCCACGTCCCATGGCTACGCCTATGTAGTGAAGTTGATTAACACAAGTACGAGTAGACATATGAAATCGGATTAGAGTAGCAACTGCATGAGTTGCAGAAAAACAAGTTTCTGTCGTCGAATGGTATTTCCAAAACCGAATTAAACAGATAGACAGGTCACCAATCTTCAGGTCCGAGTGGTGGTCATAGTATCGCAGCGCTATTTCAACATCTAAAATGACAAAATCGGAAATTTTATTTTCATCATCATTTAAAGACATTGGTCGGGCCCTTTGAGATGCCCAATATTACATACTACGAAGCCATCTTGACCCATACAGTCTGCCATTGGTACTTTCTACAGAAGCGAGTAAATATTTCCGTATCATTGGTTTAAATAAATACAATATATCACAACAATTAAGTGATTCGAGTACCACTGGTCATTACTATTGTTCCTGAACAATTTGAATGTTTCCTGTGGAAATTTAGGTCGCAGGATGCTACGAAAAGCCGAGGCTGTCGCAACGTTTCTAGTAGTTTTTAATTATCCTGTACCAGAAGTCAACTGATTCGCAGTTATGGTACCTATGTATTTCTATTTTAATTCTAGCAAGGGTCATTTCATTTGTATTTCGTTGCAAGACTTTATTTATACAGCTTTCAATGCGATCGAAATAGGAGCGCTTTATTGTGCAACTGAATTAGCTTCGAATGCACGAGATGATTAGATATGCTGGAGAAGGGGTGTGCAACATTATTTGTCGGTGGATTTTATAACCAACTTTGACTAGCCCCTTGATCACATAGGTATATTATTTTATTTCCTAAATAGGCTTTACTCAAACTGGGACAATAAACATGAAAATTAGAAGACGATTTCATCTTATTCTGTATCAAAATTGTGGGCTGAGTAAATACTTAACAAACTTGGAAACACAAAAAATTGTGCAAGAGCGACATTTTAATACTATTCATTGACCTAAAAATAACCTAAGGCCCGAAATGCAGAATTACATTCCAATAAATATTTCAGGGAAATGAAAACAAGGTCAGTTGTAAAAAACTTGTAATGAATGCAATTTGCATGATATGGTAAAAGAATTGAAAAGGCTACATTTGCATGTTCGGCACATGATATCGTGCAATGCCTTAATGATCGCTTGGACTTTATCAGTAATAAGGCAGTTGTTTAAAAGTCAGGCGTTGAAAACGTGAAAGGTATCTATGCCAGAAATACTTAGTATAGCTCGGTCATAAGTATATATCTGCGTGTGATTCTGGATAAATAATAATTCATAGATAGATTAAGGCAGAGTATCTTGTTCATATTTAAAGTACAGTATTTTACGGAGCATGAGGCGCTCTTTTTTTTCTCAAAAATCGAACGTGCGCCTTATAAACGATTTCACTTAATGTATGGATTAGGTAGTGCGTTATGCTTTATTACTTACATCAATACCGGTACTATTGTTTTATAAAATGACCGCTGTTTTACGTATTCTTTGGATAAAATGCAATAACCGTTCCGTACAATATCATAATACAGGTAGCAGCAACGTACTTAGGGAGAGGTCAAGAATTGTCGCAAAGTCCCAAATTTTAAAAATTTGTCTGCAATGATGCTTTAAAAGTCTAAGATAATTTTACGAGTCTAATGTTTATGTGAAAAGTGTAATACAACGAGATATATTTTGCACACGTTTCTTACTTTCTTATCCTGAAGGCGTAACATGAAATAGAATATTATGGGACACTTTACCAAAAACATATATATTATATTTATGTTTCGTATTTACAGACTGTTTCCCAAAAAGTTGTAAATCAGCTTAAGCCATGAAATTTCCCTCGTTCATCCTATTTGTTGTATTTGTCAACCTATGGCTTGTAGCTTTAGTTCATGCGAGCGGCAGCAAAGGAATGTTTTGCAAGGCTGTCGATGACGAAGCTGATATTCTTGGCAAAGGAAATTGCGAACAAGCCAAAGTTAATGCTACAGTGACAGAGCATGTTAAATCAAGTAAGACCTAGTTGTTACGATTCCTTCGAATATAATAAATCCAAGTGATGAATATTCTTTAAAATTAATATATGCTTAAAGCAAAGGAATACTTTTGAGATGTAAAACTCTGCCCATTGCAGGTGACTGAGAAATGAAAAAAAAAATTGCTAGTCTGTATTGGCCTCTCATGCTTACAATGTTGTATGAATTTCCAACTAATGGCGGTTACATTCCATGCTTATACCTTCACTTTTTGTGATTTAAATCATCGATTAGTTGAATATATATATAGTTAGCCGCAAACAAACAGCCACTAACCCAACGTTTGCCAACGAAGTTTGAGGTCTAAAATGATATATATATATATATATATATTAAACATTCAGCACCCGGACTTTGCTATAAGGCTATCATGCCCATTCTCGTTTTTTTTTAATCATTTACTTATTATATTTTATAAACAGTGGAAAGCTCAATAATCGCAAAGATGGCCGAAATGGAAGAAAAACTTCTACAAAGACTAAGTAATCTGAAAGTATCACTCTATCAAGTTAAAAAGGAAATACAATCAGGTGAATGAACTTCAGTAATTACCACGTGTCATTTGACAAACTAATGAATAAACAATTTTAAATGTTGCTATACATGAGAATAAATAAATTAAAAATCAAGTAAGAGTAGAATGTTTGTAATATTATTGTTTAAATCATCAAACTAAGAAACAAACTCAGCCCTATAACGTTCTGCCCGTATGAACCCGCTCTAGACACTCTCCTGCCTGCCAATCCAAATTTATTTAAATCAGTCGATCGTGAACAAAAATTTTTATGGTTTAGTATTTATTCGATCCCTTGTTTCAATGACGCGTCCACTTGTACCTTCATCAAAACAACCTCCATCCACGATAGTGACTAATATTGGAATTTTTGCGATTCAAACGTAACTAAACTTAATTAAACTCATTTCATATCGAGCGTGTTTATGCATAGATAAAATGCAAAAATCGTTGTACAACAAGTGCGGCCACAGAGGCGTGCGTTGTTATTATATTTAGGCCTTTAACCCAAGATAGCGACAAAAGACTGGGAAAATGAACAAGATATGTATTTTGAACTTTCAAACATCTCTAAGTTTTTATTGAAATACTTCGGGGAAAATATTTTCAAAATCTCAAAATTCGATCTCATGTCATAAAACCTCGATATGGCAATATGAGTATACTGACATGAAATTTAGGCTTCAGGTCTTCGCGCACATCAAAGTACGATGCCTCTGAAACGACTACCTTTTTTACCATAATCAAAATTTATAAAGTAGGGAATTGCGAGATTTTCTAATATACAAAATATGAAAACTGATATCTATTTATTCATGAATAACACGTGTTTATTTAAAATACCTGCTAAATATAGAATATTTATCATTGAATCGTGTAGGAGAGATTTCTTGCTATCGACCAGGTACAAAAACAAAATTCTAGGCTCTATTTTAAGGGGAGGGCTTATTGGACACGTAGTGGACATAGCGATCGTATTAATATTATGTTGTTGGACACGTTTAGTGGACATAACGATCGTTTTGTTGTTCTTTGACACTTATTGGAAATAGCGCGTTCAGTGACGTCATAGCAAACAAAAACAAATCTCACAGAACTAACAGAAATATTTGAAATAAATAAAAGTAATAGCCTTCTGGAGAATTTTTATCTTTAACCACTGAAAAATTCAAAGCAATTGGTCCAGTAATCAAAGAGAAAAGCGACTTTTTAAAAACGTGTCAAAGAACAAGAACATAATATTGAAACGATGGCTATGTCCACTAGTGTCCAATAATCCAATCCATTTCAATACTCTTTGCAGAGATCTGTGGAGGCTTTCATTACAATGGAAGATGCTATTGGGCTACGGTGTATGCCATTCAAAATACTGATTATAGTGAAGCTGTTGCCTTGTGCAAGGACAAAGCCGGAGAGCCTGCCGATATCCTCGATTCCAAACATTACGATTTGATAATGGAATACATTCGATCGATTATTACGTCATCAAACACGTACCTGTGGCTCGGGATGACCGTCACACCACACGTATGTTTATTAATTATTTCTTAGTCGTGGTGTAAAAGAGCTGGTCAGTGGGGCACATCATAGAGATTCCTGTTTCGTTCATTATTTATAGAGTTGCGACTAGATATAGGAGCATAATTTGCAATGCCAGCGTACGTAGTACAATGTGGCATTGGCCGAACGAATTATACTATTTTAACGGCCTGAGAAAAGTCAAATGGAATGAACGTTATGAATATTTCCATTATTAATATACTGTATTTAGAGAAACAGTTTAATAACAGCATTCTTGCATTATATGCATACGAATCCACCGGTACAAAAGCGTAGAAGAAGGATAAGTAGTTAGTCCCGCAGAAACCAAATCATTAGCGCATTAGCAGGTCTTTAACAAATCAATTTTGGACGCATTTTAAAATTAGCTATGGATTCGATTGAATGGTTCCCATTACGAGTTGTGGAAATGCGATGAAGTAAAATTTCATCTATTAATATTTTCAGAATGGAGCTGTTCAATTGTCAAATGGGGTCACAGCTCCGTATTTGAATTATGAACCAAATTATCCTGCGGACACTCGGTTTTTCACCCGAATGACCATCGCAGTGAACAAAGAATCCTCCAGCGAAGAACAGGGAATGTGGAACACTAGAGCTTTTGATGACTTGCATGGAGTTGTTTGTCAAAAGTAAAAGCAATCAGCCACAACGATGAACTGTATACATGTGATAGATTATTTTGGAATGTTTATTAAATTACGTATTGTGAATATACATTTGTGATCAGTGCTGGGGTTTTGTTTTGTAGAACTCAATAACAACATGCTCCCTCACTTCAGAAATTGTAAGTATCTACATCAGGGGTGGGCAATGTTTTTGCCCACCTAGACTGGCGGGCCATATAAGTGTGACGTGAAAGTTACATTTTATGACCAATATTTACCGTGTTATGAAAGCAAACGTGAAAAACAATAAGCCTCGTGCCAAAACTAAATTCAATCGCCATCTTTCAAACTCCTTGAGCTATTTTTTTTTTAGCTAAAACATCAAAATTCGGATTTAGTTTGGTTGTGGCAGCATCACGCGGGCCAGATTGAATCACCCAACGGGCCGGATTTGGCCCGCAGTTTGCGTATGTCAGATCTACATCAACATGACGCGCTTTACATGAATCTGATTTTTGAAACGCCAAATATAACGATAGTCGTCAGTTGCGCCGCGCGCTGCCCATTTGCGTCAGTCGTACAATGTCCAAAACAAAAAAGAAAGAACGAGTTTGTTGGTTATCGCGCCATTCCAAGATCGAGTTTCGCGGAACCCACCACATTTGTGATGATAGTTGGTGAGGCACAGTCTTCTTCAAGTGACTAGTAGAAGTGGTATTATTTTATTTAATAAAATACAATTACTGCAAAACTATCGCGGCTAGTTTCAAGTACGATAACAACTTTTAGCATATATGTAACATTAATATCAGGCTCAAATCTTACAGAAGACTTTCTATCGAGGGATGATATTTTACTCAGATGAGATGAATGTCGATAAGACACGTAATCATACGGCACATTACAGACTCGTCCGGTTACAGGATTATTTAGTCAGTTATTAGTTTCATGTGAATGGAATTAATGGTGTAAGAAGCTGTAACCGGCCAACGTTTACGTGAACCAAGCACTGTATCTGAAACAGACCGCCTAATCACTTTTGCTCAACAATTGTCTGCTTAACTAATCTTATGCCAAACTCTAGTGTAACCTGACAAGAGGGTGTGTTTGGTGTATTACCAAGCACACTTATCTGCTTATCTCCGGAATAAAAAATTTGTGCGCTCCCGATGTGCACAACCTGAACCCTAACCTGGTACACAAACTATGTTTAGGTTGTGCGCCGCCTTGGTACACATACATAGAGGTCCAAAATTTGATCACACATGATAAATCCAAAGCCCCTCGTCCTGGGTATAGAAATAGTAGAAAGTGAGACAGCTCATTTTGTGATAGAAGAGAGAGCGCCCTCATTTCTAGCCCTGTAAGCTGTGACAAGTCCAGCAATTCCCATAGCTGCACAAAAAGATAACCCATAAGACCATGGTCGACATATTGTGGTGTGGTGTAGATGCCTATCACGAGTGACCGAGAGCCGGATATATTAATCAAAAAGTGAAATTTTCTGAATTCTAATCAGAAAATGATGAGAATAAATAATCAAAGATTAAATTAAGTTAATCAAATAACTCTGAGAATACAAAGTACTGTTTCCAATTTTAAATTTTTTAGGTTGAGATTGGAGTGAAAGCTGTGAGCACCAGATATCAAGTAACATGTTTTGCGCTTCAGAAGTGTGTGTACCAACATGGAGGTAACTAATTTTGTTCGCCACCTTTACATCAAGTTGTATGAAGGGAATGAAACCTGTGACTATGAGCAGGGGGTATATTAACTTGGCGAAGACAGACCCCGAACTCGTAATAGAACTAAAAGAAAGGAAATTGGAATAAAATTACAATCCAACTGTAACCTGGTACACACACCACGGGAGTACCACATATTTTACGTTTCTAATTTATTTATCCGATCAAATTTTCCATTTATCTGTTCTTAATTCAATATTTGAAACCAGTCCTTTCCCGATGATTTGAAAATCTTCTATGACTGTTTTAACATTTGCTGCAACTTTACTTTTACTGAGGATTGATGAGCATAAGGCAGTGGTTAGCTGAATAAAAAGAAAATATTGAATTTTTGGCGCTCCAGAAGTACGAGTATAAATATAGAGGTAACTAATTTTGCTCGCCTATTTTACATCAAATTGTGTATAGTGAGAGTAAAGTAGGAATAAAATTATGGCCTAACCCTAACTTGGTACACATACTGTGAATGTGAAATTCAATTTTCTCTTTTTTTAGTAATAGCTAATAAAATAGCACCATTATGTATGGGAAGTATTACAGGATTTACATTTTTACCCCGGGGGAGAGGAGAGCCGCTAAGATGGCTAATCATATAGCAAACCACCGCCTCTTGTACGGTTACCAGTCCATGTCGAGTATGGGATTATTTAGCCAGATATTGGTTTTCGGAAGCATGGACTTTATTACATTAGAGGCATTCTGACTACCAATAGCACATTACCAACTCAAGTGTTGAAAAAATGTAAGGAATATGTTCGCTATCACACATCTGTTAGCAGGTTTTTGCACCATTAAGTCCATGTTACTGCCAACAATACCTTGTATCTGACATGGACTGGTAACCGATATAAATATGGAAATTCTATCCAAATTCAAAACAGACTCCAGCCTCGAACATTTTAAAATACAAGACTTTTCAAAAACCATTTCTGCAATGGTTTGCCTAGGACTATGTCATCGAAAATATAAGAAAAAGAACCAACTTTGAATTCTCTTGGTTGAAAAGCATTTGGCCTCCATAAAACCCCAATTTCTTGTCCACCATTGGTGTTGTGAAAGAACATAGCCAGCTCACCATATGATGACTGCAAAGTAAACAATTGGTTTTAATTTTGATATAAGCACCCCTAAAGTTGCATATACTTTTAAAATCTAACCTATCGATATTATTAAAATTGGAAAAAAACTTTTAAAGCTAACTTTCAACAGGAAATAATGCTATAAAATTTGTTCAAAGTGATCAATCCATGTATGCGATTTATAAAAATAGTTATATAACTATAAAAAGTGAAGAAATTGCAAGAGCCATCTCTATTCTGGTTCTAGTATCCATGTACTATAGGCAGATAGAAGCGAAAAGCATAGGATACAAGAGAAATATCGACACAAAGGTCGCGTACAGTATGGTAAACGCCTCGAAGAGTTCGAAGAGAAGATACTCGCATAAGTATGATAGAATAAAAATTCACATTCAAAGAAAATAAAACGGCTAAGTTTGGAGATGAAGTTAAGAAAAAAATCCATCTTTAAATACTGGAAATTTGAAATCAAATTGTCAAATAGTGCAGGAGAAAAGTCATTTTACCCCAACAACAGTACGATTAAAAACAACAATTTAGCATGATGATCCATAATCCCCCTTAATGTCCAGTTAAAAAGAATCTCAGTATGTCGTAATTATGATACAGGGTGTCCGTAAAGTCACTTTACAATTTTGATTCTGGTATGAAGTCAGTTCTCAATATATCTCAATCAAGTTTATTGCTTTTTAATCAGTAATTGTTTAAGTATTTTTTCGACATTTTAATACATCTGTGAGTGCCAAAACAATATATGGTATCGATAAAAAATTCCTTTGCAATTGTAAAATTTTTTAGAACTTCATGGACACCCTGTTTACTTACCTCGAGTTCGTCCAAGTATGATTGCACTGGATCAAATCCAACAACTGGCAGTATATTGGAATTTTCATTCTGTGTTGCCAGATCTTCCTCCACAATATCTCCATCAACTTGACAAGCTTCATATTTTCTGGCAACACATTTTGGTTCCAAATGAATCACAACATCATATGCTGATAATGATCCGTGGAAAATACTCTGAATACAGATATCCAAAAGTGAGGATTTATAGCAGACAGACATTTGATTATTCTAAAAATAACAGAATCACACATGTCTAGGTTAAAACAACATTAATAGTAAATCTAGACCAAAAAGTAAATGCAAAAAATTTCAGCAAGATAAAGTCGGTTGATAAAAAGTGATATTCTGCTCAAACAGATGCAACTGGCATTATTTAAGCTCCCACTCTAGTGAATCTAACTGTTTGGAATTGGATTTCTCTATTTGGTTAAAACCAAAAAAGATAATAAAATGGTTTAATCATGTGGCGAACCGTGATTTCCCAATTTGTTCAAGTATAGCTGACTGGAGCATCACCATATCATAGGATTAGACCTAGCAAGTCAAAAACGAGATAGCAATCGGAGACCGCCAACTTATCGATCTAGCGACGTGTATCCTTCGCTTTGACTCAATAACGACACCATGTGTCCCATCACTAATTAATTGATAACTCGCTAATTATACGACATAATTCATCCAAAATCAATAGGCTTCTGGTCCGAGATATGATGAATGCACAGGCAGAGTCAACCTCGCTTTCGTGAGATTCGCGTGTATCTAACAGACAAATACCTATCAACATACTTACCAATCGAGATCGATAAGTAATATGTCAATGCCCCCCTGCCCCATCCGTTCTGAGAACCATTTAAAGCCCCTCATGTGTGGTATGAATACATTCTAAACAATTAGGAAATTGTTTCACTTCTGTCTGAGTGAATCTATGTGATCATGCTTTATACGTATTATCTTATAAACATTGTTGACATTAATGAAGAAAAAAGTATGAAAAATTATTTCTGTTTACCACACAAAACATGGCACTTGATATAAACACAACAAATATATTACCATTGTACTGACTCCTTTCTCCAAACTCATAATTTCATTTTCTAAATTCTTCAAAGATATGACAGCTAAAGCTTGCAATCTACGTAAAATCATACAAGTTGGTTGTTTTCTTGTCCATATTGACCTAATGTGGAAAAAATAGGGTTTGTCTAATTGTATACTTCTGGGGTCATAAAAGCAAACATTAAATGAGATAACGATATCAGGGCAGGAGCCATTATCATAGTTCAAAGTGAATATTTTCCTATTTAAGCACCAACCATTAGATTGAGTGCTGCTTACAATCAACGTTTACCCAAAAATTGATCATTATAAATTACAAATATATATTGATTTCAAAATTTAATACGTTCAGAATTAGTTTTCTAGCTGTTTCACACATTTTTCAATCAATATCAGATGAGGAACTATTTTGTGCTTGAAGGGCCATTACAGCATAGCTGATCTGTCTATTTTTGAACAAATAATCTTTAATCTGACGATGTCAACGAATTATAGTCCAACGCTTTAACCAATGGGCCATCATGTCCACAGTTTATACCACTGTCTATCCTAGGTGACGAATATGGGTTGATAAAGACTGAAATTTCTTAATCAGGTTTCAATTGATTCACCTTGTTTTATCCTTGTTGGTTGCAATGAACATCGTGGGAAGAGAATCACGATTCGTGTTGAAATGTTCCTGGATAGTAGTGATGTCGAATTCTGATGAAAATAAAACGAAAGAATAAGGGGAATAAATTAAAATTAGGTGTTAGGAAATGGTTCAAACTTGGATTTCAAGTAAAATATGTATAGTGTTGAGCATGGTTGAACAAAAAAATAGTTATGAATATGGATGTATGGTACCAATCACCATTTGAATGTCTATTGAGAACAATGTGTATGTGAAGACTTGTTCTTTTTTTATTTCCAGAATATCGCAAACTCAAATGAAAAATCGAAGTAATTGTGTGAAAATTTTTTTAAATTATGAAAACAAAAAAAGAGCCCTGCATTCGTGGTAAAAGTATAAGAACGCAAACGCACACAAAAGTGGTATAAAAGTTAATTTAAAGGGCGGGATGGACTAAATATACTCAAGTGAAAAATACAACATTCCAGTTCGCAATCTCACATGTGAAGACCATGTCGAATTAATTTAGCATATAAAAGTGTGCTAAAACTGGGGTAACACTTATTGACAAATAATTCAATTACTGTCACCCTATTTTTGGCCCCTTCTGTAGAATGCACTAACCTTCCAACTCATTATTGAAGTCTACGATGACAAGATTTGAATTGAAATCAAACTTTGAGATGAATGAAAGAAAACGGATGAATCCAACTTGAGCTGATCTGAGGAGAATAACACAAGAAAAAATAGTTAAGATATGTTTATACATTTTAACAAGACTTAAGAAGTTGAGCATGCACATTTCAGCCGTATTACCATATTAGGTTAGATTTTAGATATTTATCCCAGGGTGGAGAAAGGTGATAAGAAGACTTAATAATATCGTGAACTATTCCCATCTACCAGTCTAGGTCGTGTATGGTAATAATAAACCTTAATTGTTTGAATAGAATTTGGTGGTAAATGCTGCAACCAACCAGTGGTTGAACCACCAGCGTGAGAATATATAACTGGTTGATTAGGCATTAATGGGGTAGAAAGCTATAACCAATCAGAGGTTAAATGACAAGATGTCCAGTAGTTCACCAACATGTACCAAATTGCAATTGCATTTGATCCTGAAACCGGTTATGACGATTCGGGATGCTATGTTGAGATTTTGAATTTTAAATTAATTTCTTCCAAAGCTTCATATAGAAGTGAACAGTATGTGAATAGTCAGGTATATCCTGCTAAAAGCCATTAGAATGCAAGGGAACAGAACAGAAGCATAATAGCATTATGAATCACTACTTACCCAGGTGTTGTATATGGCTCTGGATTTGTGTACAAACTTGCACATAAAAGTTCGATAACAATTTCAGGTACGTGACGTGATAGTAATTGGCCGTTGATCCATCGTTTTGCTAACCGAGTCGTGAGACAAAACGAAGGAAACTTCTGAGTTAATCTGAATAAAATAATCGGAGAAACAAATTTATTTTGAGCATGTAAATGAGAACTGAGAAAACTGTATACTGTGCGTGAAAAGCATGTTGCATAAGTTTATAGCATGCAACATAAATTTTCTGTCCCGATGCTCAAAATGTAAGTAATTACATTTTATTTCACATTAGATGCGACATTGTTCCACAGCTGGAACATGGGTCTAAAATGAGTTTTCATGTATTTCATATCTTCCTCTCTAATAATCTAGTGCTATGCTACATTGTTTTGTAAGCAAGAATTGCCAAACAAAACAACATAAATAGTGCATCCAATCGATTTAAATGGGTTACATTAAATATGGAAACATGGGAGGCAACGATATCATAAACACTCCACATTTTCGTGGGGAAAAGCGTAAATAAGCACCATACATATAAAAAAAATCACAGGCATTTAATGTTCAATAAAAATTCGACAGTACGTACCCATGTAAAACACTTGCAAGCTTTGGTAAATGCGAAGTCTTCTCTTCCAATGCAATTGATTCAGGAGTTATTTTATTTTTGACCAGACCATCATTTGTTGTGAATGTTTGCATTATTGTAATTTCCCTGTGATATGCTATGATGATTCGAAATACAAAACCATCCTGAAATTAATATTAGTTAATTAATATTAACAAGTGAAAACATAGAATAGTATTCAAAGTATGGCAAAGTCAACCAAGGTAAATTTTTACATTTATCTTGGGGCTTTGTACCTACGGTAGTTCAAATTGGGTGGGCAAAAAACTAACCAATCAAATATTCCATGTGAATTTTAATGGTGGAGAGACTGTAAATGACCAGCGTTGTGAAGTAGCATGTAAGAAGTAAAAGTCCAACAAACGTCTTGCGTATATTTAACCGACAGAAGATTCGAACATGCAAACTTCAGATGTGTGACCCACAATGACTAAATTAATTAATTACGAACAAAAGCCTGATTTAGTGTGATTCATTTCCCGTCCCCGAACTCGTAATAGCCCTAAAATAGGGAGATTCAAAATAAAATTATGGCCTAACCCTAACATGGTACACATACTATGTTCAGGTGTCCGCCATCTTGGTTCACATACTATGGGAGTGCATTTTATTGAATATTCAGGTTGGAGCTGGAGTGGCATATCAAATGAGAGTCAAGTCGGAAGTTTGAGAGTCAAGTCGGAATTTTGAGAGTCAAGTCGGAATTTTGATTGTTACATTTTTAACATTTTTAAGTCAGATTTTAACAAAAAATCCTGCAAAGCTCAAGTTTTCTTGGACAAACTTTGTTCCAGACGTCTAGAGCTGGAGTTGAATTTTTTACAGAAAGTTAACATAAAAATTTTTGAAATCAATTTTTGCAAATTTCAAAATATTATTTTGAAGTTGTTACTACTAACCTTGAAAACATCCAGATAGGTTTGAGTAGGAACACAAGTTAATTCTGAATGTTCTTTCTCTAATTCATCAGAAAATGTGATATGAAAAGCAGCTTTTAATCTACGTAATGCTTCAACATCTTGAGGCCATTTCCCACTTCCTTCAAGATGACAGATTACTAGAAATAAAAAGTCGTTTTTTTGAATGAAAATAAAATTTTACAAGCTATTCAATTCAAGAGACCTACGGCACATTAACATAGATGTATTTCTGTAACGTTTTGTCTGACCGGGATCAGACTTCTTCGGACAAGCTGAAGTATAGTCATCTTCATTCTAGCATCCTTGCGTTCATGCATACGGATTCACTTCCACAAAGGCATAGAGCAAGGAAAGGTAGTTAGACTTGCGTAACCTCGACCGATAGTTAGATTGTTACAAGCAATGTTTAGATATAAGAACATACAGGCAATGCTGTCACTGGTCTCATTGTTCATTGGTAATTGGCTAATATTTGTAGTAAAATAATCCAAATTTTTTTTAGCCACGGAGAAAAAATATACACATATTTTAAGTAATAGTTTTCTGGGGGACTATTCCATATGCAATCACTGGATTATTAAAGAGATTGGTCAAATAGTTGGGAATTTTTTACCTCTACAATTGCAACCAAAGAATATCTCCATGAGTTCACTTTGCTAAGAAATAGCCTACATATCACAACAATACTCAAATATACACAACTAGAAACTAGTACACCACAAGGTTCTGAAAGTGCTTCATTCGGAGCCTCAGATAATGTCATATTTCAATTATTGGTAAGGAACCAGATACTAGTATATGGCTCTTGTGCTTAATGTGGAATTTACTTTCAAATAGGTACACAATTCAATATTTCTGATGTACAGTATTTCGTAAGATACAAACCCTACATTTCCTGCAGTCGCTTTTAACACCACACAGAAAAAACCTAATTTTTGGGGACTCGCAAAATTATTCTTCAAACAGATAATTCAGAAAAAACTGCAAACCTTCGATTGCATGTACATAAGGTGGAGCAGAATCCTCGGAATCTGGAATTTGGATTTTCTTCATTATTTTTTTCATCACTTGGTTGTCAGGAATGATGACCTGAGTTGGTGGATAAACCTGAAACATGACTAGATATCAGCTTTGTTCGAAAGAAACATCACAGAAGATGTGACAATGTTGCAAAAAACCATACTATATGGGAAAAGTAAAGATGGGTCTTGTTCTTAGAATATACTTTAATACAGCGCCACAGCGGTACCCAAAGAGTGTGTCGCGAGTGAAATAGTAATTTTTTAGTATTTCAAAGCATAATCAGGTACAGATCAGAAAAGAGAGTTGATATTGCCTCCATTCTTTAAACCTGCATGTTTTCAAACTTCGGAAGGCATATAGTACACCCAACCAAGCGATAACAATATTGAGTTTTATTCAAAGGCAGCAATTTTTTTCATTGTGTAAGTGCGCCATGAGTTTTTCTTTTTGATAATCTCAAAAAAAATTTGAAAAAAGTAAAATTGATGGACTTTTTTCTATTATCAAGTAATGATAATTTAAAAGTAATTGTTCAGATCCTAGCTACAAATTATAATTTAACCTACCTCTGTATATCTCAGTGCAGGTGAAACTCCTTGTAAAGAAACCACAGTCAGAGGTAAATCTTTCAAATTTCTAAGTTGCCGACATAATTCATTGTAAGAGTGAACGAGCTTGATATTGACTTCGTCACCTAAAAAATAAACAATAACAGTAAGGAACTGAATTTCTTATTTATAGATGGGGAGAGGAAGCTGATCTGGTTACCAGCCAATGTCTGGTATGGAATTAGTTGACCAGTTATGTAAATGAAATGGGAACCGAATTATGAATATATAAATTAATGAAATGATTCGAATACGCTGGTTTCAGATATTAATTTATTATCTGAAAAAGCTCTATGTAGGAGAGAGGTTGTAAAACATAAGGAGTGCTGTGGTTCACCATACACAAATCCTGTTCTAAATGTTGTATTCTTTTATAACTTTTTTTTCAGACATTATGCTTTTCGAAAAAGGTACAGTGCAGCAGCCACTAATATTTAAGAAGCAACGCAACTATCTATTGGAAGGACTGAAAACTTTCCAGTCCGGTATTGGCTACACAATTCCTGCCTACATTCATACATAATACCTGTTCCAACATAACCAGGTACAGGGACATATTCTGTTTGTTTTGAATCTGTTTTCAATGTCAAAATCTCTTCAATTTGATTGGAATTGTAGATGATAGAATTGCTGGATAAATTGCAGTGCCTGGAAAGATATAAGATGAATACTGATAGATAAAGGGAGACATCTACACCGCACCAGGGGTGTACCCAGGAAGTGGGGGGTTGTTTGTGGGTCAGAAACCCCCCTTGCGAAATGTGGAAAAAGGGCATTACTCCGTATCATATATAGCAATATCTTGTAGCTTGAAATGCTTTTTAGACTCTTCAAGACTCTTGAAAACCATGGACGCGCTAGTTGTTACGGTATAACCTAGTTGTTATGGTATAACTTGGCAATCAGAACACCCCTCCCCTCTTGAAATTCCTAACTATGCCCCTGCTCAGGACTGTAGGAAATTACATTCAACTCAGACTCTTAAATGAGCGTGGAAAATAATTTCGACTCAGGTTGATAGTAATAATTGATCAGACTCCAGCTCGAAACTCTCAAAAAGCCAAATTTTGATAAGGAAAATAAGGCAAATAAAAGCCTTCTTCAATAGACTGTTAGGAATGCTATGAGAACTTCATTTATTTGAGTTTCTGTGTAAAATAATATTACTAGTTTATTCATTTTTGTTGACACAAATAATTATACATGCTTAATTCTGATTTGCCATGATTACTAGGACATCCTTGGGTACTCCCGTAGCGTGTGTACCAGGTTAGGGTTAAACCATAATTTTATTCTGATTTTCCTTATTTTAGTTCTGTTACGAGTTCGGGGACTGTCTGTGTTAGCCAAGTGAATATAACCCCTGTCCATAGTAATCAGTCCCCTACACAACCTGATGTAAAGTGAGCGGACAAAATTAGTTACCTCCATATTGGTACACATACTTCCGGAGCGCCCATCCCTGCTCTGAGCATGAAATGCTTCGAATAAAAGAATACCCTAATTCTCATAAGAATGCCATAAACTTACAATCTAAGAATATGTTTTGTAATATTTTCCAGAATATTTCTCTTGTCTGTTTTATTTTTGCAATTCCAAACAACAGCCTCACAAATAGATCCATCTTGAAATCTTCTCAACTCAGATTTATCTCCCCAAAACTCTCGAAACGAGGATGCCTGAAACAAAACATGTATAGAATATCAAAATTGGTTGAATGAAAAAATACAAACAGAAAAATTTCTTCCCATATGGGTCCAGGTGGATTTCAAAAGTTGCCATGCCTTAAGTCGCCTCAAATAAAAAATTGTTTCTTTATAAAGCCTAATTAAAGGTCACAATTCAAAGTCTTCAAGGAAACAAAACCAACAAAATACGCGAAATTACTTTTGAAAACAAAGTTTTTTTTATCCAATATGCAGAATATTTTGAATTTCTATTCATTTAAGTTTGCAGGTTTCGAAAGTAACCATGGAAACTCAAAGTACCAGTTTGGTTAAATGCGGTAAATCTAAAATGAAAATATTATTTCCTCTTACACTCAAAATTCATAACACAATTCAAAGTCTTTAGCTGTAGACTGCATTACATACTGTAACTAGTAGTTTTAGCATCTGCATTGATAAATAAGTCCCCAATGTATTTTTATTTATTAAAATTATGCAATATACAAAATTGATCAACTTGATCAACGGGAGAATATTGTTTGGAAAATTGAAGACAGGGAAAGTTGGAAGAAGATACATAATATAAAGTATATCATTTAATCAAAAATACATATTCATCGCCGCGATTAGACCACTTGTTAAAAGAGCCTATTTTATAAACAAGGAAATAAAACGATACATTAGGCGTGAAAAGAAAACAAATAACATCATAACGCAAAGAAAATTTGTCGCTTTTGTATGTTAGCAAGCGCCGTTTGTGAATTCTCCCGCAATTCACGATTGATTTGGCGACGCGTGAATTCCGTGTTAAAGCAAAGCGGCGCAGGTCACGTGGTACTGGGTATTCGAATAGTAAAATGCCATTCGAATATTTTGATATTCGATTCGATAGGCTATTCGTTATTCGAATATTTTGCCCAGCCCTACTCATGAGATAGATAATTATGCAAACGACAAATATACTAGACTGCAATATGTACTACAGGTAACAGTTTATGCTAGGGTTAGGCCATAATTTTATTCTGATTTTCCTTATTTTAGTTCTATTACCAGTTCGGGGCTGTTTGCGTTAGCCAAGTGAATATACCCCCTGTCTATAGGCTTTAAATAACTTGATGTAAAATAGGCGAACAAAATTAGTTACCTCCATATTGGTACACACACTTCCAGAGCGTCATTTGTTATAAATATGCAAACGACAAATATACTAATACTCTACCTCTGGAGTTTCAGCAGTTGGCCCTTTATCAATAATAGAGGAGGCATCAGAAGTGAGAATGAATCCAAATGATAATGTTGATAAAGGATCCTTCCAAGATGGTGGATGAGAATCAGTGGACCACTAAAAATGACAATAATGATAATTCTAGTAAAATTTCTTTACTTTACTAAATTATGTGATAAGCAAGAATATTTTCTTAAGCTTAATTTTGGAAATATTATTTTTCAGTACAATTTTGCTAAAAAGCTTGTTACAGTATTCATAAAAGTTATGAATAAAATCCAAATATTTTAACATTGAATTCTAAGTTATTCATTTCAACTACTAATCTTAAGGTTTAGATAAATTAGGCAAGTGTAGTTGAGGGAGTGCAGCAACACTTTATCAAATTTATGTAAAAAAATTTCGCTTTTCACCCCTTTCATGCAAAGAGATACTATTTTCAAAAAGAAGCCGAATCTTTCCGGATCTGCATTACCAAAATTATTACACCATGGTTGTGCAGGTGGGCACAAGCTTTGAATGAATGCAATGACAACATTTTCAAGTTCAACATTATAAGGGTATTGCTGACACGTTGACTTAGATAATCTTTCATGATTTCTCGTCCATTGCAGTTGAAATATTGTTTGTTTTGTTGTCAATATAAAATTTTCTGTTCAAATTTATAATATCTGTTGCACGACAAAAATAAATATCTGAATCGATGACTACGGTGCCACAAGTGCCATCAAATTTAATACCCAAAGGAGTCTTATAATTATATAATTATACATGCTTAATTCTGATTTGCCATGATTACTAGGAATCCTTGGGTACTCCCGTGGCGTGTGTACCAGGTTAACGTTAAGCCATAATTTTATTCCGATTTTCCTTATTTTAGTTCCGTCCCTTTACACAACTTGATTTAAAATAGGCCAACAAAATTAGTTATCTCCATATTGGTCTTCTTCCAAAAATATTTTTATTTCTCAACTAATATCAGACTTGGAATATTCAACTTACCATGCCATATTTACAACCTTTGACGCCAATGAGCTTGACCCTTGACCTTAATCCTTGCCGCAAAACACTCATAATTTTTGGGACTGCGCAATTAATTGCATTTCCACCGTAGTCAGGTAAATTTTCTATTAAATTCATCCTCTCACATGAGTTATGCAACAACCATGGTCGACAAACACTAGAGTAGAAAGATGATAAATTACAGAATAAAATTATTGGGTTTAAAATTTACTGTGGTTATGGGTGACTTGTTGATTGCTTGCCAAATGTTATTCTCGGAGCGAGTATGAAATACGAAGTTCAATGTCGTAATGATAATTTCACTACCATCATTGAAGTAGCAGCATTGAGACTGACTCAGAAAAATTCTCATAACTAAGAAAAAGAAAATTCTGACTTTATCATTAGCAAGCTGCCTTTGGTTTGGAATGAAACTACTACACTATGGAGGAATAATGATCATTAAAGTTGAAGAATAAAACAAATTGGGTATTTATTTACAATGGCTATTCGCTCCTAGGTGATTGCTTGCCTAATGCCTTTGTTGAAGCAAGCATAAAACGATGGAGAGCATAGTGATAATGCAACTACAATTATCGAAGAAGAAGTCAAATTAGCATCTACTTTGAAAAATTCCCAGACCTCAAAAACAAATTGGCATTTGCAAGCTTGAAGTTTTAAATAAGAATTTGTCTTTTCAGATGTTGGAATTCAAACTAACATTCTGATGCACGCATAGGCTCTTAATAATCAAATACCTGCACCAAAAAAACAAGCTTGTGGCTTTGATGAATCCAAATGGTACGAGAATAAAATTAAAAAATAATTAACTGCATGGATTTGATCATATTGATAGGAAATAGCTGTAAAAGCAAAACAAACTATCCAAAATGGATATTTTGAAAAAGCAAAAATAATAAACGTTACTCACTGTATGATGTGATCAAATTTTTTAATGAAAGGAAGTGATGTCATAAACACAGCATCAAACCCATTGCTTATCACTTTGTTATCCAGAGTTTTTAGAGAATATTCTGCTTCCTGGCAGACCTGTTAAAAATCAATTAATTCTTGTGACCTGGAGAGTGGTTGAAAGAAAATAATTTTGAATATTTTTATTTAAAACTCCAGTGTTTAGTAACAAATTTCGAGGTAGCCCAGGGACATAGCCAGTAATTTTTGGAGAGTGTGTTTTCAAATTTTGAGGGTCTGAAATGCGTTTAAAGCTATAGAAAAATTGCGGTGCTCCCGAAGTATGCGAACCAAGATGGCGGGCATCGGAACGTAACATGGGTAACAGGTTAGGGTTAGGCGATAATTTTTTTCCAATTTTCCTTATTTTAGTCCTATTATCAGTTCGAAGACTAGCCAAGAGCCTCCCGTAGTATTTATACCTAAAATTATGGCCTAACCCTAACCTAGTACACATATTACATTCCGGTGTCCGCCATCTTGGTTCGCATACTTCGGGAGCCCCCAAAATTGCTATGTATGACACACAGAAAATTGGTAATTCTGACATTACCACCCCCTGTGTTAGTCAACTAGATTAAACAGATTCCCATCAATTGCTAATAACTTTTGGAAAACATTTGTGTTCTTTTCATGTCAAGGAGAAAAAAGCATCAACTCATTTATGTTTTCATGGCTTTGCGTGTTATTTGCCAGTTTTAGTTGTGTTTCAGAAATTGGTTGTGAATCAACCATTATGGTTTTGAACATTTAAAACAGTTTATACTCGCCAACTCTCCAAAACACTCTAAATAAGCATACGTTTTGCTATAGAAAATTATAAGGAGAATTTTTTCATGGGGTCAAGGGTCATGGAAACATCCATTGGTAATAATTCTGTAAGTTGACGGAACAAGTAACAATATAATGTTTAATTATTCCTTCAAATAAAAATTGAAAAATCCCTTCTCAAAAACTTCACAGACCTGATAATACACAGCAGCAGACATTTCAGAACATAAATTCAATGTTCCAGTTGGATCAACAAAAACAATTTCAAAATATTTATGAAATTCAGAAGTATCCTGATCTTTAAAGCTGATGCCTTCTTCCGTCCAATCTGATGTGCCTGTGAAAATAATGACCGTTATTCTAATTTGTTTAAATCCAGGTCTGGTTCACATACTCGTGAGCAATGAACTGTCAATGCGATAAGACTTCTAGGATAGGATTTACATATTTATCTCCAGGAAGAGGAGAGCCGATAAGATGACTTGATCATATGACGAACCACAGCCTCTCATTTCTTATCTCATGGCCAGTTAGGCGGGCAAGCAATGACAAATTGAATAGATTTCTGTCTTTCGAAAAGTAATATCATCTTACATATGAGTGGATGATTGTACAGAGACTAGTGGAAGACAGTTGGAAACACTTTTACGTTCACTGCCTACCATTTTATGGCACAAGGCATTGTTTGCGACATTTTAATAAGTAAATTTAGGAAAGCTGCCCTCTGCAAATAAACCATTCATAGTTCACAATTACAAATATCAAATTACCGTGAGTATGAAAATCAAAATTTTAACATTCTCCATAATATGTCGCACAACTGCTGATAAGACTGATACTTACTTAAATATTGGAAAACATTTCTCACAACTTGATAACTGCTCATCATTTTATTAATTCTTCTTTTCTCCAACAAATAAGCAGCCAACATTGATATTATAAAACCATTGAAACAACCAGTGCCCTGCAAAATGTTTGAAACTAATAAACTCACATAGACATTCACAAAAAACTTACACAAGTCTAGTTTAAGCAATATTGATCCTTATTAAAGAATAGTCTTTAGCAAAACCACATTCTTCTCCAATAAAATTAGCTTTTTGAGTACAATTGGATTTATGTCAATTATAATTAATTTAAGTAATTTTGCTGCAAAAACAAAAAATTCAAAGCAAGAATAGTTCTAAAATATGACAGAATAAAAGATAGAAAAATTAGGAATCAGTGGTATCAACCCTTATCAAGTAAAAACTTTATCACTGCCAAACCAAGCCAACATCTTCAACAAAATTTTTTAATTTCATAAACAAAGTGCACTCGTGACGACATGGTAAAAATTTCTCAAAAGATCAGAAATATACATTGTGCCTTAGTTTAGCATAATAGACCATTTTTTTTACATATTACACACTTGGTCAAGTTCCCGTTGTCTCAGCCAAACTTTCAATAATTTAATTCCATCTCTGATTCCTTCGTATTCAGAAAATGACTCGAATAAATATTTCAAATGTTCCACCATTAACATATCTCGTAGTACAATGCTGTTATAATGTGGTGTTGGATTGAGAGAGACATCATCTGAAGCAAATAGGAAAATTGTAGAGAACAAAGAATTAAAGTCCATGTAAAAGATCTTTAAAACCACTTCAATCATGGTAGCTCTTTTAGAAATATGGGTACCCCCGTAATGTGTGTACAGGCTAGGGTTAGGCCATGGTTTTATTCCCATTTTCCTTATTTTGGATCTATTATGAGTTCGGGGACTGTCTGTGTTAGCCAAGTGAATATACCCCCTGCCCATAGGTTTCAGTCCCCTTACACAACTTATGTAAAATAGGCGAACAAAATTAGTTACCTCCTTATTGGTAAACATACTTCTGGAGGGTCGAAAAATGCACTCAAAAACAAACAATTCTACTTTTCTTTCCATTCTTACCTTGTTTAGTTGATATTCCTGTAAACCAGCTCTTTCGAACATTGCTTTTATGTGGAAGAAATCTTTCTAATTTAAAAGATTCTTTACCAGGACAAGTGTGGACTCGAACAATCAGAGAATTTGAGAGTTTACCTAAAAGAAAAAATGTTAGTTAAATAAGGGCACATAATGTACCAATTGTTAAATATTTTCAATTAAAATTACCTTTTCTCTTTTTGAAATATCATAGCGAAAAGCACATATTATTCGAATAATAGTAGGTAAAAACTTGAGTGACTCAGATATTTTTTAATATATGAAATGGGGATTTACATATTCATCCAGGGAAAGAGAAAATTAATTATTTGGCGAACCACGGCCTCTCGTCCGGTTACCACTCCTTGTAAGGTATGGGATTAGTTAGCCAGTTATTTGTTCCAGATGCATGGACTTAATGGTGGATGAGGACTAAGACTATTTTCTGATTTTTCGATAGCTCTAAGTAGGGTTGCCACTTCCGGATACATTTTTTTTCGAATCGAATCTCGAATCGAAAATTTTCGAATCGAATCTTTCCGAATCTGATTCCGGAAATGTTTTTTTTTTTTTTTTCATCGCTAAAAAATTACCCAAACTGCGTCACCTCTAATGCTGACATGGCACCCAAACAATACACTATTACAGCAAAAACAAAATGCCAGTGGAAAATGAAATATAATCTGTTATCTGAAAACAAATTCCAAAATAACATGCAAAACTTCAAATCGTGCCTAAAACATCCCCCCCCCCCCCCTGTCAGAACCTGCGATATTGTGTGTCAAGTTCGCGAAAAAGGCAAAATTTGAAGAAGATATTGTTTCACTCCAACAATTTCTTATTGCAGTAGAGAAAATTGAGTTCATTAACATGGGCACTCGTTAGTCGTGATCTCAACTGTGAAACAGTCAGTCCAGCAGAAGAAAAAGCCCTTTCTGAAGCAGCCGAGGTTGCGGGTACACTCAGATACTTCACTGCCATTCTCTTGAGCAAAGGGGCACGGGCTCCATTGTTATCCCACCAGGTCAATGGTGCAGGTGGTGACTCTTTATCATCAACCTTTCGTTTTAAGTACCAAGCTATTTCCTCTGACACAATATTTGAACTTTCCGAGTCTGAAGAACTGCCAGAGTTCTCTAGGCCTCTCTCAAAAAGTCCATGAATTTCACTAGATGAATTCACGGTTTCCATTTGCTCTTGACTATGATCCATTTGTGGCAGGGGTCCATGACGTGATTCATCCTGAGCCGTAGAAGTATCTGCTTCAGTTTCAACAGCTATCCGCACCTATGAAAAATGTTTCATCAGCATCAGAAATCGAAGTGAGATTAATTTGAAATTAGAACATTCAAAATTAAATTACCGAGACTCGCATCTGTCTGCTGAAAAATTTGCCCTTGTGAAAGGGATTCAACCAGGTGGACTTGTGGTAAATGCTTACTCCTTCGCTTTGTACTGAAGTTGACATGACATCTGAGAATCTAGTGTGTAACGAACTGAGAATGGTCGAACAGAAGGTCTTTGATGCCGATAGCTGAAGCTCATCGACAAGGAGTTCTTCACACTGACCCACTAAACCTTTTGCAATTGGTAGCAAAGATGACATCGTCACATAATTACTTCCTTCAAGGTGATCAGAGGCTGTCTAAAAATAAGATATTTTATTGCAAATTTTTGGACACTGAATTGTAAACCCAAGGACAAATAACCCTAGTCAATATAATTCAGTTCTCATAAACTATCATTATGATGCAGCAAACACAGAGTTAGTAACCTTTTGAAATAAAATTCTGAGCTTGATTAGTTACCTTGAATGGTTTCAATATGATAGAAATTTCTCTCAGCAAGCTCCAGTGGTTGTCCTTTAGTTCAAGACTGACTGCTGTCGCTCGTGGGACAATTGTTGGATCAGCCAGTACCGAACGAATTATCCACTGGTTTTTCACAAGATTTGCTATCATAGCAAATGTGGAGTTCCACCTGGTTGAAACGTCTATCGGCATCTCAATGTTTTTTATTTCAGTGTCTGCCGACTGAGCATGGCGTCGCAACGCTGTCATGCATTTTGCTGACCTTCTAAAGTGTTGCACTAAGTGCCGCGCAGCACCTGAAATTTAAATTTTTATACATAAATACATCCAGTGAACATATTCTGACAAAAAGTGTTTCATTTAAATAGCATATGATTTCAAACTATCCATTTGTAGGCATTCCATAGATTTATCAGGCTTTCCCCTTATTTAGCATCACATACAGCCTCACTTACCTAGTGCCCTTGCTATTTCTGTATTTTTGATGGCATCTTTGATACACAGCTGGAGGGTGTGAGCAGCGCAACGAATGTGATGCCAGCCATGTTCAGTTTGTAAAATTTTACATGCAGAAACAACATTCGCCCCATTGTCTGTTACTATAGCAAATATGGAGGAAGGGGGATAGAAAAATCATTCAGTACATATAGGATGTAACTTTTCAAGTTTATACCAGTTTGGTCCCCAACTATTTGTGTAGTGGACAATACATAGTTCTGTAGTTCTCCTGCCATGACAAAATGTGCTGTAACAGTTATATAAGCTTCCATCCGGATGCTTGTCCATGCATCTGTTGTGATAGATATCACATTTTGTTCTTTTAAAATAGACATGAGTTTGCATTTATACTGCGAATATGTAGTTTCAATCTGTTTTCCAAAAAAAGTTCTTCCAGGCATCTCGTATCCCGGCTCAAGATTTGATATTAAATTTCTAAAATGCTCCCCCTCTACGATATTGATCGGCCTCATGTCCCCTATTATAACATTGACTATTAATTTGTCTATATGATTCTGTCTTTGTCTGCTAATGGACTTTGATTTAAAAAAGGTTTCAAGTTTTTTCTGTTTTGTTCCACTTCCACTGCCTTCTGTCACTTGGCTCGCTGTTAAACTGAAAATAAAATGTATAAAATATAAACAGCAGCTACATAATCTTGTACACATTTAGTAAAATTTTCTGCTGGCTTGACCTGCTTTATTGATTAGACAGTATGAAATATGGTGGACAATTGCCTCTGACATAAATTTGCCTGACCTGGCTGGGCATCACAACTGTCAACATCGCAACTAATACAATTCTAACTTTTGTATCAGCTTCAAGTTACACGAGTACAAAATTATTTCTAATTACTGATTTCTCTATTTATCTTTTCAGTCCTGCCAGTATGTTAGTTTAGCAAACCATTGCTTATTTCATTTCCTAGATGAAACTGTTTTAAGTACCCGAGTTTAAGAACTATAATTCTGTAGTTACACAGTTACGTAAGCCCATATGGCGTTCTGGCTGTAGTAGAATTAATTAAAAAAAAGGTTTGGCTTACTTTGATGTATGCACTGAATCAGTGTTGATGAATGCATGTCTTCTTCTGAGGTGGTTCAAAAGATTGCCGGTAGACTCGCAGTATGACAACTTCTCTTTACAGAAGTTGCAAATCACATATGAATATCCCTCCTCTTTTGACGGGCGAGAAAAATGTTCCCAGACTAAGGAATTGGGGCGCCGTCCCTGCCGCCTAGGTGTTATTTTTTTAAAACTACTACTGATATTAGACATTCTGAATAATAAAAATGCATTGCAAATAGTCATATAATTAAGTTATACTAGTAAGCTACCGATGCCTGGCCGCACATTTTGCAGTCCAATGAGTTTAACAGCAGCGCATGGCACCCTGTCAAGTACCACGTCCCGGTTCTCCTACAATTTGCAATGCAAACTTGTAACAATCAGTCCCCACTCAGTCTTGAACCACTGAATTGTTGAACCCAACACCTCAGAAGAACACTGAAAAAACTTGTTGTAATATTCCGCTTGACAACACGACAGAACAATACGGCAATAACACTCGCAAATGGCACACAGAGTTTGTAGACTACCCCACGCTGAGTTTTACTGTTACCGGTAACAAATATTGATAGATTCCAGGATTAAATAACTAAATACAGAACAGTTAGTAAATATAACACGCAATAAGTCCCATCCTATCCTAACCTATTGATTCCCAACTAAATAATAACAATAGCAGAAATCTAATAACTCACAAAACGCACACTCAACTAAATCCTAAAGGACCGGCAAAGCAGATGACTGCCGATTGCGCCATCACAGCTCGTCTCGCTCACGCACAACAGAGAGCAATACAAGATACTAACTAAAGAGCAAGGGTCGACGTCGGTCGATTGCAGCAGCCAATAGCGTGCAAGACAAACATATTGCGACATCGCTCAATACTCACTCTCAAATACAATAAAGAAATAAACCAATGTTCAGACCTGTTGAAAATTGTTGTCGTAAAATTACGCATCAAAGAAGCCCGGGCGATATGTGAATTCGACTTTGCGAGCGAGCAAAGAGTTTTGCAGACCACTAGCAGATGTCTCGCTGGTGTGTGTTCCCCACTGCAAAACTAACGCAAAACGAGAGCACTTCGCCGAAAAAAAGAAGGCAAATCACTCTCTAAAATATATCTTTCGTCGTTGAAATGAATGCTAATTTCATCAAACAAAGAACTGTATCCCATTATAAAGCGCAAATTCATTCGAGAGAGATAGCCGGACGAGCGCTTATTTGTTTGCTTTCGAGTGAAATCATATCCGTTCGCATAGCTGGAAGACAACCGCCGTTAATAAAATCGAGAGTCGGCGTTATTTTTTGTAAAGCCACGTTATCGTTTTTCGAATCGCCCGAGTGCGATTCGAATCGATTCGAAAAGGCAACGATTCGAATCGATTCGATTCGGAAATCCAAATGTGGCATCCCTAGCTCTAAGACTTACCAGAAGGTTTGAGTAGCAGTACAGGTTTGAGAGGATTTTCTTCAGAGTAGGCAAATTTGAGTTCAGAAATGAGATCATTTTCCAATAAATAATGAGCAATATAGGCAAGATAAACTGCTCTCTTCCTCAAATATCTTTGATTCAGATGATCCTTCGCTTGCATAGATTCCTGGAGCCATAAGAGAATGTTGACGAGAATTGAAAAAAGATTTTCAAGGTATACATTAATTAATATAGGATAGAGTTTTTTTTCATTTGAATATAGACTCTACAATTCCCAAGTCTTATAAAATGGGAACTTTTATACTAACAATTACAAAATGATCTTATCATCAATAATAGGTTCCGCAAGTTTCCATTCGGTCATTTTTATATGATTGTGTCCATTCCCACACACGACATGGGCTGGTAATCGAAGGAGATATAAATATTAACAATGCCATCTCATCCCTACCCCAGCACATTCCTAGGGTGTAATATAAAGGTAGAATGAACTTTGGAGAGAAGATTTTGAACATTCACAAATATATAGGTTGTATTTGTAAAGGTACTCACCGTTGGGAGTTCCAACACGAGATCGATGTTCAATTTTTGTTTTAAATTTGTATCAAGAAGATAACTTCCCACAACCTGAATTTAAAAGTAAACCCTTGAGACATTCTGACTTGAAATCTTGAAATGCTTGTAAGAATCTGTGTTTTATTAAATTCCTTATTCAGTGTCAACCGCTCATAGAAAATATTACTATTTCATACTATTGACAAGCTAATAAAAATCATTTCCATTCAACAGTGACTATACAGTGGAGAGCTAAACTAAAAATTAACCATATCAATATATATATATATATATATGATAGATGAAAAAAATGATTTTAAAAATGAAAAATAGTGGGATGGTATTTAAAATGGTATTCACAACGACAGCTCTACATACAGAAACTTTAATTTTATAGTTACTATCTGTAATAATCTAATTTTTCAATTCCAGATCAAGAATTGTCTGAAAACTATACTTTGATAGATATATTACTCAGTGATTATCTTGTTAAAGCAAGGTCAACAAAGTTATAAGTTAATACTACTTTACTCTTGAGTTAAATAAAATGCACATACTTGTATATCAGCTGGGGGAGTGCATTTCATTTCACCTTTGACCTTCGCAGGCTTCATGACAAATGGAATTTGAATTTGATCGAACATCTTCTGACTCTCAGATAACTGTAAAAACAAGAAATATTAACAAACATGAATATAATAGTCATTTATATGCCAATAAGATACTTCACTGATTGGTAGTCAGGGACAAGGGTGTAGCCAGTAATTTTCAAAGAGGGGAGAGTTCTGAAGTTGCCAAGTTAAGACCATAACAGATAGTGAGTTCGGCCAGAGTGTATTCAAAAGTCTTAGGTTCTAAAAACTGTTTCAAGCTACGAAAATCGCTATGTATGATACAGAGAAATGCTTTTTTTTTACATTTCAAAAGAGGGAGGGGGTCCAAAACTCAAAGTGGGATCCTGCATTCAATCAGGATGTTAATAAATTATATCGAATCCAAAAGATATGAGCAATTCTCAATCAAGTAGCCACCTATTTTTAATATTGCTTGTCAAGAGCCTTGTTAATAAGAGTGATAATATTACAAATGCTATTACAAAATTTATGACATACCTTGAATTTATCTGTGATGGGCAAAGTCATGATGACATCATGTAGTGAATGTAAGTATTCATCAACTTTTTCACGCTTTGTTTTTGATAATGTCACTTCTTTCAGCAGCTCTGTGATCTGAAAAAAATGAAGTTTTTCGAGCAATAGAATATCAACACAGCTCCATCGTCTACATAAGTTAATGATGTACCTTGTTATCAGGGGCGGACACTTTCCATAATTTTGGGGGGGCGAACTTGGATCGCCTACCGAAAAACACCGCGCCGTGTATCGTCACGTCACAATAACCTGTCGATGTCATTCTCTAAGTATTAGCATGTCATTTCGCTACTCATATATCGAGTACCTAGGCTGCTTTGCTCGGACACGGAACTTGCGCGTTACTGAACCAATTTCTTGAATTCCGCGAGAATTAGCCCACTGCTCTTGCTAACAAACAGAAAATACCAAATTTGAGGAGTCGTATTAGGTTATTGTTTCAATTCCTAGTTCTGCATAAAGCGCACTAACGCCGTTTCGTAAAATTAGAAATGCAAAACAAGGTAACAAGCTATTGTGCGAATTTTTTTCCTAAATTTTACCAAGGAATTATCATTTGTAGTAGAATTGCCATTATTGCCGATTTATTAAATCATCATTTGAACTCGAAATAACATTCAGGATTCACGCAATGACTTTGTAGGGTTTTTATTTATAATTTAATACGAAAATAAACAGGCACAAGTTCAGGCGCGCAGCCAGGATTTAAAAAAAAGGGGGGGGTAAAGTCGGAACTTCCCATTGCCGTCTGCAACAAGCACCGCGATTACGCGCTCGTTAAAAGAGCCGCCTATTTAAGCGTATAATGATTTTTCTTTTGATCCATGACAGCCACGAGATTCTAAAATGTTCTTAATATATTAATTTAATAGTGTGCAACGTAACTCGCGGTTGCGACTTCTTACGTCAAAAAATATAAATTTAACTAAAGTACTATGGCGATATGTTGGACATAAAAATATGAGATAAGCTGCCTGATGTATTTAATTTTGATACCTATTTTTGCAATCTTCCGAACTCGTTATCGCCGTTACAAAAAATATCGATATCTGATATAAAATCCCATATAGTACCATTTTAATTAATACAATGAAAATAATTATAAGTATACTAGTAAAATCAAAAAATACAAAATTCACCGCCTCGAAATCCACGCGGAACAGTCCCGCGATTACGCCACTTGTTAAAAGAGCCGACTTTATCAACGAAAAATGATTTTTCCCTTGTGCAAAGTAATCAATCAAAGACCGATACGAGCAAATTCAAAATGTCTTGATTTATTAATTTAATTGTCTTCAATTTAAACTGCGGCTGAGTCGACAAAACAAGAGCCACTCTAAAACACAACGGCAATCCGCGGACATAAAAATGTGTGGTAAACTGCCCGTTTATATATTGTTTTGATCCGTATTTTTGCTATTTTGCGAATTCGATAAATTTGAGATGTACTTGTCACACTGGCTCCGCTCAATCGCAATGTTGTCACTCCGATTATTTCAAAGATAAAACCTTTTCGAAAAAATCCGTAAATTTTCTGTCAATTCTCACGTAGTAGAAGTTATTTCAGTACATAAAAATACATAAAATAAATACAAAAAGTGATCGATTATACTTCAATTTATCTTATATATCATCACAAACCGGGGAAAAGTCGCGTTCCCAGCTTTGTTTGTTAACACGAAAATTTCGACGTCAATTAAAAGTAATGGGTAAAAAGGCAAATCCCGCTCACAATTGACCATGTTTCGATTTAGTGACGAAATGTTTTTAAAAGTCAAGCAAACATAATTTGTGCCGTAGGCACACCAGAATTTTGCGATTTTCGATGCCTAGAAAAGCGTTTTTAGACTGTCGCGGGCCTCAACAAAACTTTGTTGATTGTTTACAGTTTAATTTTAGTATTTTATATTGCCGCTTCTTAACTTTTCGACATAGTAAATGCTTTGATCTTTGCCCGCAAATTATGTTGGGCCTTGCACGAAATCCAGAACGTGAAAAGATACGTCCAGCGGTGAAAATTGTACTTAACAACTTTAGATCTAGTTAATTTTTTTAGCGATAATAATTAATTGTTGTAATGAAACACAGTTTGCCTCTTTCACTTCTCTCGCAAGTGCCAACAATAACACCAATGAGAAAATCATATTAAATTGTACAAAATGAATTAGTTGTGCAAAACCGTGGCGCGTGAATCGCGGTGCGTTTGAAGACGGAGTATTACCCGTGTGGGCGCACATGTTTTACGAAAATGTGAGGTGCTCCAAGGCGCTCTGGTCCACATTATTGTAAGAAAACAGTTATAATATCGGTAACTATCAACCGTTTAATTGCGCTTGACTCTCGCACTTTTCGGAAATGATAATTTTGTAAGGCGGAAACAACATGTATTAAATTTTTTTACGAAATTATTGGGGGGGGCGACCGCCCCCCCTTGCCCCCCCCGGGTGTCCGCCCCTGCTTGTCATGAAATGTTATGAACTAACGAGAGCCATACATTCATATAATGCTAGACACTGTGGACTGAATTATCACTTAAACAATGTCTGCCAGGGAAAATTTACCCTAAACTTTTTCAAACTCCATGCCATGTATGAAACAATTCACGTTCCGGTTGACAAAAATTTGGACTCCAGTTTTCATGCCAGGTTTCTGACTCAAATATGGCAAAATTTCAATTGGACTCCAGTTGCGAAAGCTTCGTGGAGTATGCAAGCCTTCTGTAATTGTCTGTTGCGAATATTATCAGAAATTTCTGCTTTGGACAAATTCAAAATTTCAGCTCGAATCCTGGAGAGTTTGAAAGTACACTCCACAATCCTGGTTGTAAAGAGCCTTTCCGAAGCAAAATCCTGAAATTTAGTGATTTATAAAATTACCTGTAATTTTGTCAAATTGGAATGAAATAACATATTTGTATCTCGGAGAGTATTGAGTTCTTCTGTTGTCGGAGGTTTGTACAAATCACTTCCTGACAATTTTGAAGATTTCGCTGGAGGAACATCTTCCTCTAAATCCGATTCTTCATCTTCGTCAACAAATTCAGGAGATTCCATGTCTATTCGGCAATTTATTTATATATTAACAGCTTCAGGAAAAAGAAACAAAAAATTAGAAAAATAGGAACAAGAAATGTTGCTCGATGTATGAAAACACAAATATTATCAAACACTAACATATATCCAACAATATTGTTTGGGATTAGTCTTCTTGTAAGCAAGACACCATTTAAGGATTCCGACACATAACAATCTGACCTAACGACATCAGAATAGACCATTTATAAATTAGTGTGATACCAAAATTTTCCTTATACCAGCTTAATACAAGGTAGAACAACCCAGGGTGTCCATGAGAAATTAGAATTTGAATGAATGTCCATGAGAAAAAAGTTTTGCGCATACGAAGTTAATTTTATGTAAAAATAATCAGACATAAATGGTGATGATGATTTAAGGATTGCGTCAACTTTTGGGACCTCAGGTCATTCTGCAACAAATCCAAAAAACCTTATTTGACAGTGGACATTCCTAAATTATTGCAGACTTTAGATCAATGTTTGAATTCCATCGATAACACAAAGACGCAGCAAAATATTCATTTCATTTTCTTTAAAATATAATCCACAGCTTGAGAAATATTATCTTCAGAAAATAACGAATATCCAATATTTTTTCTTCTAGGGTATTTCTTTTTATAAACATTTTGTTGCATTCTGTGTAAACTTTCATAAATCTTTTCGCACTTTTCAACGTCTTCAATTTGCGTTGTTTCTCTATGCCGAAAAGTGTTTTTTACTTCGCGCTCAAGAACGGTTCCAAGATCTTTATCTAGTTTTGCCAATGAAGGATTTTTCGGCCATTTCTTCGAAACATCTAAAAACCTTTTATATCTTGACATTTGGAGAATATATGATAAATGTCCCACTCACTCAGTATTTGGTATAGCCTATATCTATAGAATATCTGATCATATTTAACCTAGTATCAAAAACATATCAATTAGCCAATCATCAAAGCAATGCAGAAACAATTGAAAAACGAAACTAAAAAAATTACAAATCAGTCTGAAAAATCGCTTTCAAAATTAGTTCGAAAAGGCCATAGACTGAGTATCCTATAATGAAGAGCATGGTCTATGCTTGTTCATTCATTATCAAATCAATTTGGTTATAAAATATAGTAAGCAAGCAAACCAGCATTTTATATTCAATAATATTAGGCCAGTATGAAACAGCAATTAACAACAGTACTATTGTAATATAAATTTTTTGGACAAGGTATGGTTGTTATTCACAATATCATAAATACACATATTCTTGCAAATCTGAGTTTTTCTACATTTTTTTGTCGAATAATGAGAAAACCCTGAATTACAAATAGGACAGAAGGGTGCAGTACATATCAAATATTAACAACTCTAAAAAACAAAAATGACAAAATATTTGAAAACAAGTTTCTGACAATCCGTCTACGAATAAGGAGCGATTGAAATCTATATTCAAGGTAAATCGTTTTTGCTTGTTTGCAAACTCATAAAAGTTCATTTTCGAAATGTAAAATGTCAAGCTACTGAACATTTTTGTTAAATCAGTTGGAAAAATCTCTCTCTACAAGTACAACAAAAGACATTTCAACAGGACAGTTTTTCCACAACGATAAACAGACAGAATGAATCAAATACAAAACACCACATGATAATAAAACTTCATATTTGAAAATTCATTCAAATCTTCGGAACCCAAATTACTTTCATCAAAATAAAACTAGCTAGAGCACTTTGATTGTGATCATGACAAGGACATGTGGATAATTATTCCAATACAGACAATCAAAGGTGTATTCTAACAAGGTTACAGACGATTCATGCAGGCTTGAGTGCAGAGATACATACGTTTACCCACAACGAGCGAGGAATAAAAGTGAGATATTTCGCTGTTTTATTATTACTATTACGTTGAATTTTATGGCCAAAAAAGCGACTAGTTTTTAAGCAAATCATCTGGGGTCTGATGCCTGATGATATGTTTTATATCAGATATACATGTTAAAAATCATGGACCGTGTTGTTTTTTCATTTATTAAAATACTTGAATAAAAATCGAAATAACAAAGTACTTCGCTTTCAAAAATGAAATATGCAATCACTGTGCCATATCTCTGCACTCGAGCTTGTGGCCGAAACGCCAGCATACTTTCTAACAATATTTCTGTGATAGATAATCATCATGAACAATCAAACTAAATATTAAAACATGGTGGCTGGATATACAGCAGCGTAATTTCAAGCAATCAAGTTTTATATGTTGAATGAACCTAGTTATCAGGAAAGTACAAATCACAAGTTTATTTACTAAATATCAATATAATAAAAACATCAGCTGTGGTCTGTTGAGATACAATTTCATCTCATCCAGACTGAAGAAGCAATAAAGCATGACTGGCAGCATTGGTGCACTCTATTTAGGATGAGATTATTCTGCCAGGACACGCTTTATTGCTTCCTTAGTACGATACGAGATTGTCTTATACATTAATAGACCAGACAAAAATTTAGGCGTTGAAGATTTATTGTTCTTTCGGAGGTCCTGGCTTGAATTCATCTTTATTTTTTAACAGATACGCTGCTAAGTATTCAACAGGATTTGGTGGGCGTTCTTTAGCGAGAGTTGCAAGGCCTGATAGAAGAATTGGAACCACTGTTTGATCGAGATAAGCTCTTGTTGGAAGCGATTGTAATTCCACCATTTTTGGTGTTTTTCCAGCAGCATCCTTTTCTGCTTTTACAGTGTTTTGAACCGCAACAGCTGGACTTGGATCAGCTGTTTGGGATCCTCCTTCCTGAGCAGGTGTCGTTTCAGCCTGCATTGGTTCTGTTACTGGAGTTGTTACTTCGTCTGCCATTGTTTCAGTTTATCTTTTTGTTAGAAGATTATCAAATATTATTTACTGTTAAAAAAGATGATTTCATATTTATTGGACTAAAATTTTCAATTGAAATTGTGATGATAGTCTACTGCAATATGAAAAATGTCAGCATCAACAGAATGATTAATTTATCAAAGCACTGGATTTTCGAAACATCTATAGGTCTAATTGCAATAACATTGCTATTTCACTTTGATCATTCTGTCATTATGGAATAAAAACTGAAGTTCGAAACTTTCTCTGATTTTCATCAATGAAATCAACTACTGTACCATAACTACAGTAGGTCAGTTTCCTGATATCCCGATAGTTGGATACACAATAACTGTCTCAGAAATGAGGGTTATTAGCAAGACGGCAGATGTGTGAAAATGATTATTGCAATATTATAACAATCGCGAGACCCGTCAGCAATTACAGAATTATGGTACCGTACCGGTACATAACTAAATTTATTTCCTGCCGACTGTTTTTATTTGCTGAAAACTTTTAAATGCTTCCTTTTCGTTGTATATAATTCACGTATCTGTCTATTCAATAGCTTTCCTTTTTAAACAGTGAAAAACAAAGATAATTGTTATTTGGAACTTACGGTAACTCTCATGTAAAATACTCAGAACGCGGCAAAATGAGAAATACTCAAAAGTATTCTCTGTGCCGTAAAGCCGCCAGCTGCCAGAATTACTTCCGAATATTTCAAGCGCGGAGATAACATATGTTCCCAAAAAAATAAAAAATCTGATTTTAAAATTAGTTGTTGGCACTATTATTAAATATATTTTAGCTTGTAATTTTTTCTGACGTTTTTACTTACATTTTTGGTCAGACTACACATAATATGTTGGTAGAATTTCACTTTCATGATCTAGTAGTATTAAAAAAAAGTTTCACAAGAACACATTAAATTTCCGTGTAGGATCATTTATAAAAAATTCTGCCAATGCTGGTTGTTTGCCAAACAGAAACACATGTTGGTATATCGGTTGCCATAAATCGCCATATATACTGTGCATTTTCGTTATTAATTGTAATTTATTTGAATTGTCATCTTTTGCAATGTCTCAGATTTCATAATTTTTGCAAGTTAATATTATAAGTATGAACACTTGTACTAATATTTGTTTGAAAAACATTATATTAATAAGAAAAATTATCAAAATTGTGGCAACCTTCACTTTGTCATGGAAAACAACCTTTTTATCCTGCTCGCTGACCCGTGTGAACAGGTGAATTATTCTGACATTCCATCAAAATTGCCGATTTGGAACAAATTATTTGCTCTTGCATTCAGGCATTGGGTATCGTCATAACGAGAGCGATGTTTGTAAAGCCATGAATTATACCGGTCTCCCTCATGAACGAGTTAACGTCATGTTTATGAATCAATAAAAGTTCTGAGTTTTTCATCATTTTGAGTTCATGATAGAAACACTGAAGTTCTATTTTATCTCCATTGCCAGAATTGTTAATAATGTTATGTCTGAGAAATGATGAAAATTTTATATTGGTTCAGGACCTTGTATTGGGTTTGGGACATGAAAAATTTGAAAATGATCATACCAGCATACACAATTTTGCATTACTGAAATCTGCCAAAAATACATAGAATGAAGCAAAATTACTATTTTCCCATAACATTTTTTATTACATTTGAAATATAAATCACTTTAAATTAAACACCGTCAAGAGATGAAGCATATTCAGACCTGACCCGCTCTGCTGAAAAACGCAAATCTCACTCTCTGTTAAAATTATGTTTTTTTGCGAATGGAATTTTAAAAATGTTAAAATTTTGGGGCACACATTCGTTTGCAATCCTCCAAGATTGTGTTAATATTTATCTCGGCTTGATTCGGTGTCTTTGTATGTCTCCCATTCTTTCAGAGATTGAGGACCTCGAGTTTTCTTTCGATTGTTCTTGGTTCCACGGAAAGAGTGAATTATGGTCGATTGGCCGCATTGTCGTCCAATGGCTATTGAAATAGCCTATCTCTTGCCATGTCAGAAAACCTCGAAGCAATGTTCTCGTATTTAAGATATTGCACAGTTGATTCTGTACTCCAATTTGAAGAAAATTGCTGCATTAGAAAAACTAAAACAATATAAATAAGCAAATTTGTGTACGCTGCCTATCAAGAGTCAATAAACGAGAATATCGGTCGGAGACCGAAGACTTGATTCATGACTCTTTAGTGACACCGCGTGTGCCATCACTAACTAATTATTATCACTCTAATTATACGACATAATTCATCCAAAATCGATAGGCTTCTGGTCCGAGATATGATGAATGCACATGCATAATTTGGAGCAGATGTAACCTCGCTTTAGTGAGATATCGCGTGCATCTAACAGAAAGACAGACAAATACCTATCAACATACTTACCGATCAAGATCGATAAGTAATAAACATTACTTGATGCTTTCAATAGAGTATAGATTGGACATTATTAATATATAATTATTGGAGTTGAAAAAACACTAATTAAGAGGAAGTAGATGTAATGAAATGCGAATGGGGAACAAATAAACCCTAATCTGCTCTGGTATTGTTGTCATCTGGCTTGGAGGAACACTGAAGCCAAATTTTTAGATTCCAGTAATTCTGACAGATTCAGATAATTTATTTTTGTCGTGCAATTTCAGATACTGTTAAATTATGGCTGCACTTCCAACACTCACATTCATTTCCATTCAAGAATGATCCAATGTGTTATGCTTCAATTTATATCAAAATTACCATGGTGATTAGTATAAAATGTACATAACCTTTAAATATAGTGAGAGTTAAAATATTGGATCAGTTCAACAATTTATTCATGTATTTTTTGTTGAGTGGTAACAGTTAGTTAATATTTTTCGTTCCAAGTTCATTATTCAGTTATTGTTGAAACGAACAAACTTGGAATAAATATAGCCTAAATTTGGCACCTGTTTCTAGGTCGTTATTAAGATATATATTTTCGTTATCCAGTATATTAACTTAAAAGTTTTAGGCAATTGTGATATGCCGTGATGAGTCTTATAAGATTAATCACCTTTGATGTTACTGGAACTCTGTTGAAAGTTACTAGCCCTGTTGGGAGACAGTATTCCCAAGCTGCTGAGAAATTTATCGGAATAAAATTTGATGAGAATTCGATGCAAGAATGTTTCTGGAAATATTATCGACAACAAATGAAACAATATCCCATGTTTGGTTCACAACACAACATGACTTCAGAACAATGGTGGTTTTCTGTTTTCACAAACTGTATTAAAGGTAGTAAGCAGTTAAACACTATGAAAACTTTTGAAAATTCAGATGCACAACTTCAAAAAGCGTTCGAAGATGTGTATTACAATTTTAAATGGACTGTTTATCCAGGAGCAAAAGATACATTAAAAAGTTTGAAGTCAATGAAAACAGAAAAGTATGGTCCAATGAAACTTGCAGCTGTTTCAAATAGTGATGAGAGAACTCCTACGATTTTGAAAGAAACAAATCTTTCAGAATATTTTGATTGTGTAGTAAGCTCGGTTGAAGCAAGATGTGAAAAGCCAAACCCAAGAATATTTGATTACACTTTGAAAAAATTGAACTTAACGGATATTGATAAAAATCAAATTCTACATGTTGGAAACATGTATGAAAAAGATTATATTGCTGCATTAAATGGTGGAATGCAGGCTTTGCTTCTGAGAGACGAATCTAATGAAAATGAGAAAGTTTTCCACAAAGAGCACATCATTCATGAATTAAGTGAAGTTGTAATGTTTGTTGGGCGCAACAACAAGGAATTTACCTCTTAATTAAATTCTTAAAATTTTGTTTTAGCAATAGTACAGTGTTTCTAATTATTAAAAACTCTATGCAAACTCATTAAGTTCAATATATAAATTTCTATAACTACATTGCTTGTGCTCAACTTTAAAGTTAAAAATTGAAATTTCAAAACTTTCATAGCTTGTATTTTTTCATGTGAAATTACTCTTGGAAAGCTGAGGTGAACTCAAAACTACCGCATCTTATTTTAAATTAAGTGTGCATTTCTATGCAATATCAAATTAATTGATAGATAATAAATTTTTGTCTAGTAATATATTACTTCTGGTTGGATAATACAGTTTGATGACGCTTATCCTTTGCATAATTACCATGAATACAGACTTGTTATCCAATTTGGTTATAAAGTTCGATCAAACAAGTTTTATGTCTTGTTGGCTGGTCCACCATCATGGTGTATTATAACGAAGCATTCTTCATTGTGGGCATGCAACGTTGAGATTTAATTACAGATCTGCGAGTCCCACTTGAGTGGTTGTTGAATTTTATGATTCTGCATTCATAATGCCTCGGTCATTTTATATGTAATAATATCATCTTTTATTGTATATTATATTGAAGGTATGATTTCATAATCCACTGTGTGCTTTTAATTTTCAATCTTCATGTTACCTAAATTTTTTCACTTCTGGGCATTTTTACTTATAATGCGGGATGTCTCAAGCAAGGTGCCATACCTCGATCAATAATGAAAACATCACTTGGCTGATGGGGCATGGACCATAGTGAATGGAGTTAGCTTTAGGCAGAGCTAGATGCCCAGGGTACATGCTTTAACTTTTGACCGAATCATCATTTTTTTCTGTATTTTTTGAAATTGCATTTGAGATAATCATATTACATTTTCTCCTGTGCCATATTGATCATATGTGTCAGATCGCGATTTGGTTTATTTGAGCAATAAAAATTCATATTACTCTTCACAGACTTGTTCAACAGCCTGGGATCCATGTAGTGAGGCCATCAACAATAGAATGAATAACTGCTGTGTCATTTCTAGGACCCTTGGAGAACAGCTAATATTAAATGATTCTGACATTGTGCTGCTGTCGCTAAGGGTTGTGGTGTCAGGGAAATTTCAAGCTACATGCCAGACTTAGGGCCACCGTAAAATTCTTGGGCAACACAGGAAAACCAAAAACGTTATCGCATGTGCAAGACTGTTGCAACCACCCGCAGGGAAATGCTCAGTCAACTTGAATTTCATAAAACTATCGCCAACCAGTTTTTGACATTTTGCATCTCCACTCTGAGCAAGACCATGGGCCACTGATATATAGGAAGCTGCTTTCTTGCCAACTAGCCAAACAACTATTATCTAGATAAACCTTTGAAACACAAAAAAAAATACTTGACAGTGCTTATATTTAATAATAATTGCTGGATTGGGTGATGGCACAGTTTATATAAGAACAATGTGATGAACTCAATTCAGATGAATAAAACCTTTATAGAGATGAATCTAAAACAGCTTTAAATAGACATGCATGCAGGCACTTCAAAACATGGTGGAAAAAAGTTAGTGATCATGCTTTATACACAATTTAGTCCTAACTGGTCCAAAAGCATATTTGGCAGATATATCAATAATCTATGCCAGGGATGTGCAACCTGCTGCCGCGGAGTAGTGGTAATTTTGATGGTGTGCGGCCCGCTGATAGAAAGCCTATGTCAAAGAAATGCGAGGCCCACGGTTTCACCCATTTTTTTGTATAGAGCCCTCCTGTCTTAAAGGTTGCACACCCCTATCTACGCAACGGATAGAAGTCATCTAATAAAATTAAAATATTTCAGAAACAAAACATGGTTAAGAGACCTTCATGAATGTAAATGTTAAATTCAATGCCTATAGCCTACAAGTCGGCTCTAACAATCCAAGAGTACCGTAAAATTTTTATTATAGGTGAAAAAATATCTATGTACATTACATAATGCTTCTCAATAATATGTCATCCATTGAGACACGAAAGAATAAGTGTGGACCTTCGCATCACTACCATATTTATATTGCATGAAGGACACAACAATGTGTTATGTTATTCTAAATTGCACAATTCTAATCCACAAGATGGGCCCAACTACTGATATAGAAAGGGCAACTTTGAGAGTCAAAGAATATTACGAGTTTGGCACTGGGGGGGAATTTCCAAACTGCAGATAATAAAGAAACTTTCAATTTCTGACAAAAGTTGAAATTTCAATGGTGAAAATAAGTTAAAATACTTGCATACACTAACATTTCTACCAATCACATTTGATTTACTTTGAGTTTGGAGCTTGAAACAAGGTCAAAAAATGTGATGCCAAATTATTTGAATATATCCCAGACAGCCAAGTTTTTCTACTCATAACTTACAGACTAACAGCAGAAATCTCTTCACACTTATATTGTAAATTGCCCTCAGAAGAATTGCTTGGTTAAGAAATCGTATTCTGTATAAATTTATAGGTATCAAGCATTTGTGAAGCTCAGACTACAGAATAAGAAAATCTTTCAAAACAGCAAACTATCTTAATAGCAGCTAAATAGTAAAAATATCTGGAAACACACTAATATTTATTAAAAAGTTTACAACCCGCGAAGAAACAAAATCTCACCCAACAAGTACAAAAATCTTTCGCAGATAATATTAGTGTAATTTATCATTATATGGCAGAATAATGAAACATGAGAGATTATCCCCAATTGAATTGGTATATAGTTGCTTACCCCTTACCGTAATCTAACAAAGAATAAACTAAAAGCATAGCAACTGATTGCCACCAGGCTTATCATAACTAAACATGCACGACTGGCGAGAAGGATACAATATAGTTGAGTCAAACACTTGTCTGTATTGGAATTGGTTCTCTTTTGCTATATATTTAGAGTGACTTTTCTGCTCCATTATTGCCCGGATAGTTTTCGGATTTATAGGCATTTGAAACATTGGCTAAACAATGTTTGCTTTCAACATTTACATTAAGTATTGCTTGTCCTATCAGAGCAAAATTGGCTAAGTCACCTATAAATTTATGACTCAAAGCTACTAGAACCATCTTCTAGGCAGTAAAAATATTATGGGGTTATTTTACCTATCCAGATAACATTTCCCTATGTGTAGTTTTGCAATAACATATCAGTATTTATTTAATTCATTATTCCAGGTGATAATTTCTAACAATGCTTTGATACAACCAGATGAATATTCTCACAAATTATATTTCTCGAATCTGAACTATTTTTTCAGAAGACTTTAACTAATGTAAGCTTACAAATTTGCATTACTTCACACGCTATCAAGTTACATTTTCCATGAACACAATATAAACATTGGACGTGGAAGGTTAATAATAAATCTGCTTACAACATCAATACACCTTTTTTAAGTACAAAATCATGAACAACATGTTAATTTTAAACCTGTATGACAATAATTATAAGTGACACTATTGTTTAATTCTAATGGTCCAGGGTGAAAATGTTTAACGAAAAAGTCGGTTGCAGTGAACTGAAAATTGAGTGGTCACTCTTTACAGCTACATTATTATCAAACACCAGCAATAAATATTGCCTTTCCAGTTTCTATCTCAAAAATAAATGTCAACCATATAAATCAGGTATATACAGTAGTTTAAATCTACACAAATGAATTCAAGTGAATATGCAATTTTCTATGTATTAGATGGCAGTAATTATTAAATTAGACTCTACGCAGCATAAGTTTAAACAAAATATAAGTGTATCTATTGATTTCACAAAGATATGTGAAATTTCATTGATAAGTGAAATATACCGTTGATTTCGATGCAAGACGAAAACCCATATTCGATTTTGGGTTTTGTATTCCAAAATGGTCCCATGCTATTACTATTTGACTATTTGACCACTCTGCATTAAAGGTGTATGTAAGAAAGTCAAATTAACTAAAAAGCAAGCATTTATGATGTTTTAATTCATAAAATTACCTTCACAACTTTCAAAAAGTAGGGTTTTGACACATTTTCACTGAGGCAGTTTTGTCAAGCCAGGCTGAATTCCCCAGGAATTCTAGACTTTTATTGTCGATAGAAAAAGTCAAAATTTCCTTCACAAACTCAAAAAGCATTACTAAGTTTACTAGTCATTTTTATGTTACAGTTAATTAAAGAAGGTTAAATGTTTTGCTATCAAAATTCCAGAGTCAAAGTCAAAACTTTTCTTAATAGGAGTCAGGAATTAAATGTAAATTTTACTGCACTGCTCGGATTGGACCAATGCTGGGATATACATTAGAGTCCATAAAGTCCCTTTACAATTTCTATTTTGATATGAAGTTAGTTCTCAATATATCTTGACCAGGTTTGTTGTTTTTCAATCAGTAATTGTTCAAGTAGTTTTACTTCATTTAATATATCCATGAGGGCCAAAACAATAATGATACCAATAAATTTCCTTTGCAATTAAAAAAAATTTAAAGCCTTTTCGGACACCTAAATTCTCCAGTCCACCTGTGTATGGACTTCATATTCAGCAATGCCTAATCCGACAAAGTGTAAAATTTAAAACTCATTATCGGAGAGATTATCATCATCTTGGGGGAAGGCGTTATCTTCAAGCAAAAGTAGGAAGGAAGTGTTGTTGTTCTCAATATCAGCGTCTGCTTCTTGCTTACGAATTCCTGGAAATTTCCATCCAGAGAAAGCATTCTGTAGTGCTTTCTCTTTTTGTTTTACACCAGAAGTGGAGAGAATACCATTGCACCTCATTTGAAATTCTTTTATTTCATCTTCTGTCAAAGGAGCATCTTCTTCCATGGTTTGCTCATCTGAACATTTCCATCCCATTTCACGTAGAAGTCTGTGAAAAAATTATTGTTTTTCATTCCTAAACCAACTCCACAAACCAGGCTACAAGGTAACACAAGATTCTATTCACACAAACCAACATATTTATTCCATTCGTTATTCAATGGGACCACTTATGTTGTTTGTTCTCGATATATCTTATTCATGAAGGAAACATTTCTGAAAAAATATATCTAGAACCATGCTCTGTTCAATTTTGAAGGGAAGCTTTGTTCCTAGACTAGCGACCACTTACAATATCAATATTAACTTTAAGTCAGAACCTTTCAAACAAATCATCGAAAGGGTCCATGGCACTGAAAAAATGGAAACCACTGATCTACACAATTGGTAAAGCTTCTGACCTGAAACCTGGTTTAGAATCAACGGGTTAAAATGAAATGATCTAGTCATCCATTATTCCAAATATATCAGGCTATCTCACCTATGTTCTGCCTCTAATGAACTTGATAAAACAAAATCATCGTGAGCTAAAACCGTCTGTGTTTGTTTGCCATTTGTATCCATATTCTTGTGAGTTTCTTTCTCTTGATTAGTAACAGCTTGTGGTTGTTCTTCTTCTATGGTAGATGAAACCTCTGACTTCAAGTGATAGTTGCTTCTGCCCGCAGAATCATCAACTTCACCATCAGTCTGACGTAATGCTTTTAAAAAGTGGTTTTTGCCTAAAAATTTAGTGAAATTGGATTGAAACGGATTACAAAACTATGCGAGAGAAACTATAGAGAAACAGGATAACGGTGGAAGTGGAATACTAAGGTAAACGTACTTGTAAACATAGTTAGCAGCTTGCTAAATGTTAGGTGAGCAAGATATGTTAAAAATTGGAATAAATCTACATTTTGTAATATAATGATGATATAAATTTGATGAGAAATTAAAATTGAAAAATTTCCTACAAATATATGGTATGGTAATGCAAAATAAAAGTATGAAGTGCTTGGCCTAAGTGTGTACTGATATTAGACATAATAGGGGGAAAGTTGTGTAGCATTAAAACGATAGATAATGTTTGAAGATAGGTAGAGTGTGTAAGCAAGTTAGCTTAGAAAATTACCTTTTCTGTGCTTTTTGTGTCCACTAACAACACCTATATCAACAGCTGAAGATTTAGTCTGAACTTCTTGTCTTGGTTGCTGAGGAGAGATATTACTTGATGAAGACTGAATAAATGAAGATTATTATTAGAATTATTGGATTATGACAGTGGCACACATCTTGTGTGAATATAATAATATCATCTGATATGATATGCATAAGCCAGGTGCTGTGAAACTTCAGATAGCTAGAGCTTTTGTCGTCAAAGAATCCTGTGCTACCCGAAACGAAGTCCAACACTTACTGGTTAAGCGAAATGGTTACTACATACCACGCTGTACATACACTATTGGTCACTACGCTGTGATTTGTAATATAATAAGTTGTTTTCTCAGGATAAATATGCCAAATTGGGTACTACCGTACAATGTACCAAGTTAGGGTTAGGCCATAATATAATTCCTATTTTACCTCCATATTCGTACAAACACTTCTGGAGCGCCCCAAATACAACCATGTTAAGATCTGGTACTAAACTCTTTTTAAAATTCTTGGACTTAAATGTCAAATTGATGATTGCACTTTACCTGGTTAGTTCGGGTGAGAGTACCAAGCTCTCTTTTGTTTCCATTTGAAATAAAATCTCCGCTCAAGTCAGCAGAATTTTTCGTTGGAAAGTTGAGGGGAACACTCATAGTACGGCGGTATGGTTGCTGAATTGTAAAAATAAATAAAATTTGAATATAAAAACAAGATTCAGAATAAAATACAAATACAGGAACTTTGGTATTTGGAAAGAGGATCTTATCAATTCAGGAAAGATCATCAAAAATAAATTGAAATGACAAAATAATTTAGTTCAAATGTAACTTCCCAATAGCTAATCAAATTACTGTATTTTTCGGTGATTTATTCTATTTTTTTGATTGATTTTGGTTGAGCTATAATTATGCATATATTATAAAATTGTCACTTAATTAGAAGATATATATAAAATCTTTAACACTGTAATGGGAAATGCACTTTCTTTTCGTTGCATTCAGAAACGCATCAACACAAATACATTCAGAACATTCACAAAACTCAAATCATTTGCTTGATACCATCCCTGCATGTACTCACATACCTTGCAAGAGTTGCCATTTTTATATCTACCCATGCACAAATGACTTCAAATAAATATTTAATTAACCTTTTGATGGGACACAGCCGCCTTAGGAACCAATGTCTTATAAATACTTGTTGATTTCTGATTGGAATTTGGACTTGATAGAGATGTGTCTGTTACTTTGTTTTTCATCACCAATGGTTTTTCTGAAATAAAAATTGTAGGAATAAAATATATTTAAGGTATTGGTCTCGACTGGGCAACAGTTTAAAAAAGATCAAAATATCCTTCCAAAAACATAGTCATGGATCATAATTGAAATATAACCGAAAAAGTTCGAGTGATGTAATAATGCTGAATGATATTACGTTAATAAAAACGAAAATTACATCAATTAAAGCAAATTAAATTAATTATCAACTAACGCCACATATTGACAACTGCGGTAGAGGATGACCGGCTTGGTGAACCATTGTTAGATTTCTTCTGATCAGAAACTTCAATGTCAGATAAAGATGGAAAATCTGCATCTATGGCTGATGTCGAGCCATTTCTTGTCCATGGATTTGCACTGGAAAAATAGACAGAGCGTGTTAAATTCTGCCTTGATTTTGCAGTTGCAGTTGAGTAGTTTACAACTACTTAATCCTAGAATCCCCGATCCTATAAAACGGTGTATTTATGAAAAATCATATATAAACCGACTGTCAAACTCCCCAAAGAGAGTTATGCAATCAGAGATATGTGCATATAAGCTAATTTTTTGTTCGATCAGAGTTATGTGCGTATAAGCTGACTCCTTAGTTCAGCAACCTTTTTTTAGTTTCAAACTCAGCTCATATAAAAGGATATACAGTAATTCCAAACTATTTGAAAATGACTCCAGATCTGACTTTTATCTTGAGCTTTAAGAAAATTCAGATTCCCACCTCAGTATATAATTCTGAGAAAATCTAAGTTTGATAACAGAAACTCCGGTGTATGCTAGCGGCCTTCTTTGATTGACTGTTATTAAGAATGCTAAATCAACTTGATGTTCTTTTAGTTTTGAAACTTTGATTTCAATTACAATCAACAAAATTCCAAAATTATGACTCTATAAAGCTGGGTGGTTCAAACACCGACCCATGGGCCACATGAGGGCCGCAGCAAATAATGATCAATTGTGTTGGCACAATAAAAGTGTTTTATATTGCGCTATTTTCCTATTCTTGGAACTGATGTGGCCCGCGAACAATGCAAAAATAATTTTATGGCCCCCAGATGCCGACAACCTTGGACCACCCTGCTATAAAGAGTTTAAAATTTCTATTTAGTCTTCGAATTGAAGGAGACGACTCTTGACTCAGACTCGATTACCGATTGAAACATGCAAAAACTCTGACTGTACATCCTTCGTAATCCCAACAAAAACAGGTCCATAATGATCTAACTATGCCAACTCAGTTCTGTGGTTACCACAGGAAGACAACAGTTTAATCATATAGCCAAGTTTATTTATCAATACGTATATTTAGAGTGACTTGTCATTTACAAAAGCTATTTGGAATTTTGTCTTGAATTAACCAGACGCTGTGAGTCATTGACAAAATAAGTTGTCATAACAAATATATTCATAATGACATGCTAAGATTCAATTCAACATGAAATTCCAAAACCTTTGATTTACTATTTGTAAGAATGACATAACAGCCTAGTGAGGAAATAAATTCGGCGCTCCAGAAGTATGTGCACCAATATGGAGGTAACTAATTTTGTTCGTCTACTTTACATCAAGTTGTGTAAAGGGACGGAAGCCTATGGGCAGGGGGTTATTTACTTGGCTAACACAGACAGTCCCCGAACTCGTAACAGAACTAAAATAAAGAAAATCGAAATAAAATTATGGCCTAACCCTAACCTGGTACACACACTACAAGAGTACCACAAATTCTGTCCAAACAGTCAATTTTGAGGGAGTCCAAGTCCAAGCAAGAATCAGTATTGGTATCCAGAGTCAGATAAGAGGTTATTTTCATATGATAAGTCCCATCTCCCAGTATTATTATGAATAATCCATTCTACATATCCTAAAAATCGAGCCATTCACAGACTATTCTTTTGAATTCGGTAAAAAAAGATCTACAAATGGTGAAATCATTGTCTGGTATTTGCTTCTCCTTAACTAATATCAGAAAAATGAAATGAAAATGATTCAGCTTTGCAATTGGGATAATTGAATTGTTTATCCCTCGTTGTCACAATGTTACCACCCCCATAGGAATTTGACTTGTCAAAGTGCAATATATATTCAATTGGTTTTTAATGTTGTTATAAATCTACATTATGACCTTGCAGTACAATCAAATTTATTATTGAAAGATCTTGGAGAATCTGCTTTGAAAAGCAGAATGTTGATATTTACAGTAGATATAATTGACAACTCAAATATTCAATTCATCAATTTATTTATAATAAAAAGATGAGTTTTGAGATACAGACAGGTGATAGATTTTTCACCACGACACAGTCAACAACTAACTGACGACGATTGACTGATGATCAAAGCAAACCATTCACTGTTAAAAAACATTCAGTTCACATATATTAGATGTATTTTTAATAAAATTTTAGAGGACAATTTTGAGATACAGATTGTGATAATTATATATATATGCAGTCAACAACTAATTGACGACGATTTACTGAAGATCAAAGCAAACCATTCACTATTCATGAATAACCCCATTCTCACATTCTAGGTGTAAATTAGGCTTATTAGCAACATTTCCTACAACTACATACATGTTAATCATAATATACATAGCGTGAATGAGCCCAATTACCACATTGTAAAACAAGGCAGTTCGTCATGTTATTACCCTAAGTTATGCATAGATAACAAGTTTTATCATTGCAGGCACATGAATTTGGATATTGGAGAAACCATGACAGAAACATATCAAATAAAAATTAGACCTGTATAATTCAAAGCTTATCGATACATTCTCAAATGGAACATTTTTTGAACAATTATAGATATGCCCAACTTTGCCTGACAGAATTTAAAATTTTTGATACAGTTGAGTTGCCACTGACATATGAAAATACTTTTATCTGTGTAAAATTTGTATTCTGTGCAGCAAACATCGATTTGTTCCCAGAACGCATTTGTAATACAGTATTCTAGAATAGCAAACTATTCGAACTTTGAATTTAGACACTCTAGTATTATTTTTATTGATTGATCCAGTGTCAGCAGAATAAATATACAGAAATATTGTAACAGATTTTGGACAAAAACAGAAACCAAATCGAAAAGGGAAATAAACTCTGGCTCATGCTGCAAGCATGGGAGGAGTATATAATCCCACACTGCAAATGAGCGAAACTAATCAATATATGAATATATTCTAACTTGTTTATTGATTTGAATATTACAATTCTATGGTTTCCTAAAATTCGAAATATTCAATTTGCAAAATTTGTCTGCAACAAAATGTAGAAATTAAAGATAATTTTTCGTCAAAAACTCACAAAAACAGTTATTTTTCCAAGCTATGCAACTATAACCCTATTAAGTGCTTGATATAAAATCTGCCACAAATTATGAATTTAAATATTCTATTTCAAAATTCAATATTCCGTGCAGCCTGGAGCAGTCACTTGGTAATTTCATATAGCGTTACAAGAAAACATGAGGCTTCAATTTCACATGGAAATTTTTTGTGTCGACTCAGGCGATACCGGAAATATTTCCTGTATGATAGAATGATTGGTGATTTTTTACCTAGCACACAGGAACACAATTGACCGCAACTCGACATGTACTCAGTATTTAATAAGGTTCTCTGCATTATTATAGAAATTCAAATTTCAAAATTTTAAAGAAATTTTTCCCACATATTCATATGATAAAAAACATATGGTCAATCGCACAACATTTAACCAACTTCAGACATCTGACTGGGCCATATGAAAAATTTAAAGGCACCGGCCGAAACGATGAAAGCTTTGTGGCTTGCACCTGGTCTGCACCATTACTATCAGTGCATGCTAATCCAGAAACTAATCACAGAACCACGATAAAAAACAATACTATACACAATACACACCATATATTTAGGCGCACATTTGACAGTAACCCAGCCATGTACTGAGTACTCAAGATCAAAGATCATAATACATCCAAGTATTATCCAATTAAGCTTAGAAGAAATTCGAATCAAATATTACAAGAACATTTTTCATTATTAATCAAATGGCTAATTGCACAACACAACAATTTTGAAAGACAAAAAGATATTGAGGTTTTCTTACTTTACAATTTCACGAATATATTTCTTCAATATTAAACTAATTTCATTAACATATTCACCCCTGTGTTTAAATGAACACTTACGAGTTTTTGTTGTTGATTTGAATACTCACAGGATAAGACATTAGACAACTTAAACGTATGGAGAACCATGAACTCTCATGCAGTCAGGGATGGCCATTTCCGAATACTAAACTATTCCGAATACATTCTAAAATAATGTTTTCGAATCTGGAATTCCGAATACATTCTAAAATCGAAAATAACACATTTTTGTTTTAGTTAAATTAAAACCCAGTAAATTAGGAAATAAGCTTCAATAAAAATATCAGAATGAAGCCACAAACCAACAGTATATGCACACAATCTAATTGATAGTTTATAGCTATCAATAAAAAATAATAGCAACTCGTGACACAGTCAGTTTATTAAAATTATTCACTTTGTACAAATGGCCATATGAAAAGATAGCCAAGGAGTTGTCTGACGCTTTCTATCATTGGTACCATGATATTACAATAATAGTCAAGTCTATTGACAAAAATACTACTTGTATTCAGATAATTGTGTATATTTTCTGAGAGTAATAAACTTTATTGGCAATACAGGGAACAACAATCGAAAATCCATTATGCCTTTAAAAATTCTAATATTTGAGCCTGAGGTATTCTACTACCTACCAGTATATTTGTATAATAATTTATGTGAACCATATTGTTATTATGTGTAACATATTGTTGTATTTGAAATTAGGAATAAATTAGTCGAGAATAGATGACCACCACTGCTAGCGCGCAGCCAGGATTTTCGAAATTGGAAATTCCCATTGCCGCCTGTAACACCCATCGCGATTTCGCGCTCGTTAAAAGAGCCGCCTTTTCAGAGTATAATGATCATTCTGTTACGTAAAATATTCAATCCATGACAACTACGAGATTCTAAAATATCTTTATATAATAATTTAATGTGCCCAACGTAACTCGCGGTTGCTTCTTCTTACGTAAAAAAAAAACGTTACTATTCGGTCCACGGCGATCTGTGACCTAAAATTACCAGATAAACTGCCTGATGTATTTAATTTTAATACGTATTTTTGCAATCTTGCCAACTCGTTATCGCCGTTAGGAAAATCTCAAATAATTATATAAAACCCTGTTAAGTGTATACATATTGTATTTCATACAATGAATATACATATAAAGTTTAGCAGTGAATTAAAAATACATATTCGTCGCCGCGATTATGCCACCTGTTAAAAGAGTCGACTTTCACAACAAATAATATAACAACGAATATATATTTTTCTGTTGTGCTAAGTGATGAATTCGTGACCGACACGGCATATTTAAAATGTCTTGCTTTATTAATTTAATTGTCTTCAATTTAACTTGCGGTTGCGTCGACAAAATAAAATCCTCACCACTCTTATATACCATTGCAATCCGCGGTTATAAAAATAAAAACGTGAGGTAAACTGTCCTATTAAATAGTGTTTTGATCCGTATTTTGCGAATTGGGCAACTATTTAGATGTACTTGTTTACAGTGACTCCGCTCGATCGAAATGCTGCCACTCTGATTATTTTTAGATAAAACCGTTCGAAAAATCCATAAATATGCAGTAATATCTCACTATCTCAGAGTAATATTTATTTCATCACAATAAAATTGATTGAATATACTTTAGATTAATTATATTATATACATCCTCACAACCCGGGAAAAAGTCGCATTCCAAACCTTGTATCGTGTTAAGACGGAAAAAAAAATAACGAATGAAAAAAAAAAATCAGGCAAATCACGCCCTCAATTAGCGATGATATGTTTCTAAACGCCGACCAAACATAATGTGTGCCAGAGGCACACGATATTTTGCGATTTTCACTGCCTAGAAAAGCGTTTTTTAAATTTACGCGGGCCTCAATAAAACTTATATCGTTTACGGTTTTATTTTCAGTATTTTAAATTGCCGCTTTTCAATCAAAAAGTTGCGTTGTCTTTAGAAACCTGCCGCCAATGAACGTATTTACCAGATTCACAATTCCGTGCACGTATAAAAATAAAATAAATGTTATCGTTATCGTGGAACAAATTTGTGGAAAATTTTCGTTTTAGAGAAAATAACACAATCGTAAAGGCGTTTACGGCCTAAATAACACGTTACGCTGATGAGTGATGAAAACAATCACGCGCAAGTTTCTATCGAGAATGTTTTCATTCAACGGAAACGTCTTGATAGCGGCGTCGAAAATGTGTGACGTCACACAAATATCCGATATTCTTATGAACGTGAATTCCGATATTCGAATGACGAGATATTCGAATACATTCGAATACTTTATTCGAATTGGCCATCCCTGCATGCAGTTACCAGTTTATGTCGGTAATAGGAATAGTTAGCCAAATTATTTGTTTCAGATACAAAGTCAATACCTATCCAGAGAAAGCTACGTAAAAACTCAAATAAATAGTTGCCAAACTGAAGGGTCGGCTCATAACTCTGATCGCACTAAAAGTTCGGCTGATGCGTGCATAACTTGATAAAAGTAAAACATAACAATAATGGTCATCATTTCCATTAATTGTCTTCGGCAACCATTTACTGTAATAGGTGCGTACGACGTGGTGGCTTATATGTTGAGTGGCTTATATGTGAATTTTTATAAATTCGGGGGGTCAGCTTTTATTAAAAATGAAAAGAGTCTGATCAATCTTTAATGATTGATTTCTAAATGTTACATCTTTTTGTTAGAGCGTTGCGGACGAATATTATTTTTGCCATGAAGGGCAATTAGAAACATCTATATGTGTGAGACGGCATTTTCAGCACCAACATTAAGACAAAAAACAGGCCCAGACTTGCGTTGAGTCGGCGCTACGAGTTTTCTTGTCACAGATTGCTACAACAATTGATGGATTGTGCAGTCGAAAGTAATCTCATCCAACACATTTATATTGTATGTGTTGCAAATGAAGCCATACTTCCTCATTGTTAGGGACAGGAATACTGTATAGATTGGGGTCTGTCAAAAATAAGGTCCGCGGCCCGAAAAGTTTGGGAAACACCGCATTAATATACATAAAATAAAGCTAATGTAGGTCACAGAAAATATATGACTCCACCAGCCATAAACCAAGTAGGCCTACTACAAAACCACAATAAAAGAAACAATACTACATAATAACCTAGACCTAGACTGCTACTTTATATTTATTATATAACACTCTCAGGTGTCAACCAGACAAAAACAAGTAAACAAATTGAGACTCTACCTGAATTGTTTCTTGTTTGGGGGCAATGTTGGTGAAAATGTTCCAGATTTTGTAAATGTTGATTTGTGTTCTCTGTTTGGACTCTGGTTAAAATGATCTGAAATCATGAAATATAGCATCTCACATATAAGGTAACATTTTATGCATAATACAGAGATAAGAATTTTCTGAACTGGTAACTTTTAGTTGAGAAGCATTTATAGGATGATAATCTGTATCGCTAGTCAGTAACGGCTTCCTTCGCCATCAAGCCCATGCATCTGGAACAAAATAACTGGCGAACTAATCCCATACTCGACATGGACTGGACGAGAGGTCATGGTTCATCATATGATCAAGTCATCTTATTAGATTTCCTCTCCCCCAAGATAAATATGTAAAACCAATCCTATCCTGTCCTATTTACTTTCCATGTTACTTGCATTGAGGATTAAATGGTATTGGTTAATTTGCAAATGACGCTTGAATGAATGTTTTAATAGATTAGGATTAGCGAACCTCATACCAAGGCCTCCTATGAAAATAGGACCAAATTATTATACTTTAGCAAATCAAAAGACCCGCTCAATATAAAGTATTATTTTAAACCCTGTTGGAAGTGTGTGTGAGTTAATTCAAGGTTGTGATATAAAACAAATGACGTCAGTGTTTCATAATAAAAAGTCTTTTCCCAGATGACAATTGACAAACAACATCATATATTAAATTGGATATTGATTTTTATAATACTGATTATGATAAGTATGAATGAGGTTGTCCGAGTTCACAAATATTGATCCAGTGTTTGGGTTAGATTTTAGTATTTCGATTACAATTTATATGTTTGAACAGTTTGAATAAGAATGACTGATATTATAGGATTACTACGATTACATTCGTTTCAAAAAAATGAAATTTTACTTGCATTAGAAAATAAGAAATTAAACCTTCAAATGACTAATTTTCATAATCAACTGTTAAATTACCATAATTATTTTATGATGTACACTATGATAAGTAATTAGGTTGGTTTAACTCAGATGAATCATTTCATACTATGTTATTAAATCCTAAAAAATGATAAATCATTCCTGAATAGTTATATTTTAAAATTATGTTAGGCCTACTGACTTTGAAATAGTGCAAAATACATCCAGATCCAAATGAATCTTTTTAATCATAATTCATAAGCACTCAAAATAATTATTTTTATATACAACTCTTTTGATTGAATGATAAATAGAAGAAGGATAATTCATCATTAACTATATGACAAGTCAAAAATCATCGCAAAATTGCATCTGTTATAAAAATACTAACCATTCTTAGAATCCAGGTAACTGTGAGTGAGATCCACAGATTGATGACGAGACACTGATCGTGGCGAGGGGGTGTGTTGACCCCATGGATGACCTGAAGTTCGAGAAGGACTTCCACTCGATCGCAGACCAAGTGAATTTGTCCGATAAATGGATTCCTGGGAGGTTTTAATAGACGGACTGATTGAAGACTGAGAGGATAGATGGTTCCCTGAAGATTTTTCAGATGATTTCTGGATGATAATAAAATATTTTGGTATATTCTCAATTCTTCGGTGCATTATCCCAGTCCAAAGTTTCTCATACTGGTCCCTCTAGGGCGCTAGAGAGCAGTTCTTTAGGATCTACAAGCAAAAGCTTTCGCAATGACTACATTAATTTAAAGTAAATGATGATTGTTCAAATTATTTGACTCTACTGCATTTATTCTTTTACTTTTGTTTATTAACTATGTTATTATTAAACGTCGTGCATAAATAACCAAGGGTTGAGGGTCAAGAATGTCAAGGTTGTATTGAGTGCTAAAACCCAAATCAGAGGTGGCAAATTTGTTAGGTTTTTCTAAACCAGTCAGAAAAACCATGGAAGATATATACCATGGTTTAAAAGGGTTGAGTTTGAAGAAGATAAAACATAAAATATCAACAGAAACAATAAAATACAGAATTTAATTACCTTTTTATTGCTGTTATTAAAGTTAAGCCAAGCTGGAGAAAAATCTACAGCTTCGTGAGGATCTTTTGCCATTTCTGAGCACGGGGCATGATAACCCCGATGCTCTTTTTAACTTCCAAGATTAAGTTTGCTAACAATTCCAGAGAAGAAAAATGTTTAAACATCCAACGACATGAGAATCTGCGTTTATCTTGTCCCCTGGATATTAGGTATTGACCAACAAGTTCTTGAAGACGATCAATTATTATGACGAAGATATTGTCGCCATGCAATGAGGAATTTAATATTTACAATGCTGAAACAAGGTCCAAACTTGTGTTGAGAAGACCTTGTTAAAATCAAGTTGTCAGTGTCGCCAATCTTGTGTGTGTGTGCTTTAATGCTTCTTGTATTTCTTCCTGATTATTATTCCAGTTGTTTCTTATTTTCTTTTTTTTTATATCAGAAGACTTTTCGTTGTATAAGACTCAGCCAGTCAGTGAATTTGCCTTAATATTAGATTAGTCCTTTTAAGCTTTCAGTATGTTGCTCTAGCAGAATTTCTTATCGCTAATATTTTCTTTTGTGATTGTTGCAGAACTTCTTTTTTGGGACAACAGGAACAAAGCAGTAGAGTTTGGGATGAATAATATGATGTCCTTTGGATTCAGTGAATTGAGATTCGAAGGTAATTATGAAGTTTGTGCAGTGGCGAGTTCCGAGGCCAAGAGGCAGATGATATCTGTGTATTTTTTCCAGTATCAGCATAAAATTCTTGAAAAATCACTGTTACTATTCATAAATAAAATAATATATAGCAGTATAGTCTATGCAGTTCCTGTTAAAAGAATACAGTAGTAACGTTATCGTTTCTGCGGTTTCAGCAAGATTCCCTTAAAAAGTTAGGAGGTAAAAATCAAAGTACTGAAGTAGAAAAATTTATTATGATACTGTAATATACCGGTATTTAAGAAATGTTATTCCAGTAATATTTCATAAAAACAACATACCGGTAACATTTACATGCGGTACGGTGATAATTATTGCAGTACGGGTATTCAGGTATTACTGGCATCAAAACTTGTCATAATACAGTACCGCAGTAATGGAACTCGAGGCACAACTCCACATACGGTAGCAATATACGGTACAGATATAGCATACGATGGTACCACTACTGCTGCCCTCTACCACACTTTCAAAAATTCATCACCAACAAACCTAGACTACAGGTACCGGACCGGTAGACTGTGGTACCGGTACAGTACGGTACCGGTATACGGTACTGCTACATGAATAAAACAGTTTCACTAAACTACAAAAGACCCGTACGAGTACAGGAGTAAGTTACGGGTACGGTAACTGTCGGTATCGGTACATTTTTTCCAGATTTCTATGCCCGAAACAATACATAGCGGTATATCATAATTATCATTTGCCTGTCATCAATGACATTAAACAACATGATGCGCAACTCCGGCATTTTTGGCCGAAGATCGTATCCGATAGCACGCTCCAATGCACATACTTAACGAGACGAAAACAAGCGGATGTGTGCTGCTTCCAAGGCATAGCACAAATAATGTTCGTGCCTGCTTTGACAGTTGTTAAAAAGTTGAGGTAAAAAAAACGGAAAAAGGTAAGGTAAATACTATTGTTGTATATCACACCCGGGCATCGCACTGTTAAGTACATGTGGGAAAGCCAGCCTTTGTCAAATACTACGAAGTTATTAATTCAGTACGGTACGTAGTTGCCCATTTGCCGAAATTGCATATTTACTTACCCCTTATGGTTTCAAATAGTTCATGTACCTCCATTTAGATTTTTTTAATCATTGAGGATATATACTCATTGCTGATTGCTGCTCATTGTAACATACTATTGCGCATTCACTTTTATTTGCGTATGGAATCAAAGGTTAACAAATTCACCCAACATTTCACTTATACCGGTCTAATTGTATAATCTGATCTCTCAAGTACTTGGAGCCACGAATGCTTGTAATTTTCTGACTAAACCCTTTTATTAGTTGGTTTATATACCAAATTCAGTAAAACATTTTTTACATAAAACACGAGATATTGGATTTATTAGCTTTTCCATTCTAAATCATATAGACTGCTTTATTTATTCTTAACGAAAATTGATTATTCACACAGAAAACAATTTACTGAAAGTAGTTTTGGAATATTAATTTTTTTGTCCACATTTTGATCAAATTAAGAATACACATCAAGCTAGCAAAAGAATACTTGAATAAAACACTTGAGTGATTAAATTAAACGCAAAGTAAATGAAGAAGGTGGCATTTTCGAAGAAAATGGGAGTTGCAATATTTCTGCATTTCATAAAATTCTGAAGCACATTGTTTAATTTGTCATATTTCCATCAATACAATGAAAAAACACAATAAGTTCAGCAGTTAATATGACAAATTCGAAGACCAACTTCGAAAAGAAAATTTTCATGTGTTTGTATATTAATATATTTATACAACGACTTAGTTACTAAAATCAATATCAATAATAATTCAAGCAATCTTATGCCACGCAATGTGGTGCGAAATGTCTTGTCGAAAAAATCTGTCATTTGTTTTTTTACTGATCTATACATGAAATGATAAAAGTAACTTTTTTACATTCCTGGAATTAATTAAACATTCGCAAAGATCCAGATTAACCCATGATCATGTTACCTCGTTAGTTAGAGTTGGTACTATAAAATCATTTCAGCCTGGCCTTAGTATGCTGGTGACACAGAAAAGATGCCAAACGTCAGGACAAATGTAATTGAAAAAACATTGAGTTTATACAGTAGTATTTTTGTTAATTTTAGGTTCATATATTTAGATTAAGTCATTTTTAGTGTATGTATTATTCTTTACTTATCCAAAACTTGTTCTAAAATGATTTTGATGGTTGTACATAGAATTTTATGATTTTTTATAATAAATACAGTAACTTGCAAATGTTGCAATAATAGTGGAATGCAAATATTAATATGTAATTGCATTTGAAATCGAAGAAAATAATAAAACTTAATCCAACTGTTTAGTTGCATCACAATATATGTCACAAACTAAAACTATCTTAAAATATCTTTCAAGTATACATTATCAAAAGTTGTTTGCGGCCCTTTTTACAATTTCCAAAATGCAATGCGGCTCTCGAAAACCCATGAGTTTGACACCACTGATCTATTCTAGATGATTCAAACATTGCCTTGGGAAATAATATCACTTCAAATAAATTTAAACAAATTTCGCTATATTAAATACAGAATCGTTGCTATCATAAAGGTAAACCAATTCAGCCACTCGAAATATATTGGCCTTCACAAAGCAATGGAAGCAAAATTGAGAGTTCATGAGCTATGAACATTTGTTCTTTTCTTTGTCTTGAACTTTTCATACTCCACAGCCCCTATTAATTTTTTTAAATTTTTATTACCATGTGATGGTCATACATATCTTTAACTTGTATTTTCTGTCATGATGTATTATCTCAATGTGTCAAACTATTAATTAGTGTGCGTATTTTGCTTCCAGATGACATAAATGTATTGTCTTGTTTATTACCTCAGCTTGGAGTATTGACAAGAAAAAGGTGCCAGTAAATTGGGTAAATTTTTTTAACTCTTTGTTATAATCATAATTCACAATTAATAGGAATTATAAACTGCCAACAATCAATGAGAATTATATGCGAAATCCCTCAGAATAAATTTGTCTAAAATCGGAGGCAGGCAAAACATATAGGTAGTTTCCATCCACACAAGCATTTCAAGAAAACTTGCTCGAGCCAAACTAAATGAGGATCGTCAGGTGATCGGTAAGGCTGCAAGTTGAATTATACCCTGCAACCTCCTGCATAGAAGATAATATTAATTAGTGGGCTATAAGCTAAATTCCTAAATTTAAACAAACCTAGCTACGATGCAATATGTACCAGCAATGTTACCTACGATTAACTGAATATGTAATATGTCTAATAAATTCACCTACAAAAGCATGTTCGATAGGTGCAAACTTTGTATTATGGAATTGTATCACAGCACCGTTAAAAGAAGTAAAAACAGTTTTGCTGTTTTGTATGTCATCCTCTTTAAATGAAATTTCAATGTTTAAGCGCAAACATCAAAATTACTAACTTTGAACTTTATCATTATCTGCAAAATGTTCCACACAAATCTTTCCGCTATCGCGTTTGTAATCTTCTCTGATAAAAAAAAACGTCTATGATATCCAGAATTGCTCTTTACAACTTGTCTGCCATTCCAGCTTTCCAAGTGAGCAAAACTTCTTAGATATAGAGATTATTTTCTTTCGTCACAGGCGCAAAAAGGCAGGTACTACACGTAAAAAAGACGCCGAGTAGCAAAAGCGAGCGGGAAACCGTCGCGAAACGCGACGAGAAATATGTGCATTGGAGCGTATCATGAAATACAATCTTTCGCATGTATTCTTATGGAGTGACGTCAGAGTTGCCTATCATGTTGTTTAATGTCATTGCTGTCATCAAGGCACGTTAGGACTGTCATAAGCGTTTTGTCTATGCTGGTATGGATCCAATTTTCTCTTGTAATACGGGTATTTTGCTTTCCATAAACTTATATATTCACATATATTATTTTTATTATATAAGAATTGCTATCTTTATCATATTTTGCTTGAAAGTGATTAATTTTACGAATGGCACGAGAGACAATAGAGAGTTCAAATTGTTCGCAAGAGAGCGATAACGAAGAATAAACATTTTTAATGCATCCACGAGTAGGCGCTCACGAGCTGTTGAAATTTTGGCTGGAGAACGCGACCTTGATCCTGAGAATGTAAACAACACTGAGAACCATGATACTTGACATGATACATGACTTCTCCAGCGTGGCTTATAGTTAGTATATAAATAAATAACCATCCAACGTGCCTGACAAAATGGAATTCGGTCGTATAGAAAGCGTACCACACACGGTGTTACGCGTGAGAGTAAAAGAAACATTCAACTAGAACATTCTATTGTGTCGTAGTGAACCATGGAGAAATTAAGTCGTAGATTAGTTGTTCATTTGAAAAATTTTGCTTTTTAAAGTTTCAAAATTCAAACGATAGTTGACATCGGGAAGTTTTGCACTTCGAAATAAATCAGTTGACATTCGAATCAAGTTATGAGTTTTTATATACAAAATATTATATTATATAATCCACCTACCGATCACGTTAAAGACTAAATTTTTATACTTTCAGAAACAGCGATACCGTTATTAGACACGGAGTAGACTTGTGTATGCGTTGCTTTAAATTATTGGTATTTTTGCATTAGCATTTGTCGTTGTTGTCGCTAACAAAATTGCTTTTCTGTGCAACCAACCAATCGTTTTTAAATTTCAGCATTCCAGCACAAGATGGGAGGAGTCGCTTAAAACCTTCTGCATTATTTTTTAGCTTTTGTCTGTGTCTTACTCTATAATCTATTCTAATTTTTTTTTACAATTCATTCGTGCATCTTCATATTACATTAAGTACAATTCTCTTTAACGTTTGGCTGATATTTTAAGCTGACATTTTAGTAGTTACTTGACCCATATAATTGATATATTCCATTGCTTTCTTGTTGTTTTCATTTCTTTTAACAAAGAAATTGCCAATTGTGCCAAGTTTATTTCGGGCTGCTTAAAAGAGTCATTTGATAACGATTTTTATGGTCATTGAGAAACCACCCAATAAGTGAGAGCCTCCGGCTATCATAGGTATTATCGAATAAAGTGCTGCAATAAATAATTTGTTTCGCTTTCAACGCGGCTTTATATATACAAAACCATTCATGCGAGTATCA